AAAAATTTGTAGTTTATTACTATTAAATTATTATTACTAAACGATATTATTTTTAGGCCTCAGAGGTAGCAAAACGAATCGCATCGACGAACCGCATCATACCAGAGTACGTAGATCATACTCACTATGTATTGTGTCTATCACTATCACTATGGACGCATGGACGAATCAAATCGACGTATCAGCGCAGTAGTAGAACTATGTTGCGAGATATGGCATATTTTTATACATTTTCTATTTTTGACTGAATAAGTGTCTTTTTATTGACGTGTTCTGTTATTATTATCCATTATAAAATAAGTACCCTATGATCGAAAAAAACGGCGCCTAAGTCGGCTGGTTAATGACAACCAATGGCGGATACAGAGAGATATAAACTGTGTTATTTTTTCAGATGAAAAAACGAGATTTGGCATGTTAGTATATGACATAAAGTAGGATTGATTGACCTCCTCAATTATTTTTGGTCACTTCCTGTTTCATCGGAAATGACTACAACTTTTCATTTTTAAATTGCACTCTCGGTATATTTTTACTGTATTTGATAGAATATGACATTCTGAATAGAATGACATATAATATGTCAACTTGTGACATTTTCGCTTAAAAAATCGTATTTTAAATTTCAATCTAGAGTGCAATGGCTGTGTTAAAAACACTAATTCTTAATCAAGGAGCCTTGGAAAAATAGATTTGATCATCTAATGGTTTTCGTGTCTTGTCCTGGCCGGTTAAAGGATGCTCTTAAAAAAAGGATAAATTACAATCTTCTTAAGACCAACTGGTGGTAGTAAGCGCCATTAAAAAATAAAGAAGGGTACGGATCAAGTAATTACGTCTAGAGCTTGACGTCGCCAAAATTATCACCGATTGTCAGTTCCCAGCCGTCTATGACGCCGTTTTTTTTTCTCGATCTTATGGTCGTATGGTATCAAATGCGCAATTACCGGTTGATTTCAAGTTTAACCTACCGAATAGAACGATGACATGTGGGACGTAATGAATGATTCATAGTATCGTTCTACAACAAACATTACGTTAACCGTGAACAATGTCAAGGCAATAAAATCCGTTTGGGAAATTATTAAAAAAATATCTTAAATGAAATATTAGAAAATTATAAATATTATAACAAGATAATAACAAAAATTACATTGCTTTTTTGTGTCTCGTTAGAGTAGTTAGACGTAGATGAATCACTGTACTCTGGAGATTGTTAATTCTATTCAATGTCGAGACGAAATATTGTGAATTCAGTCCATTCTAAACGCATGAGAAATTACTTTGAATAATATCCCATCATTGGTGGGATTTTGAACGGGCAAAGATGATACGTATAGTCACGTGACAAATTAGTTAATTTCAGTTGATTTGGTTACGGTTTGCGTGTCCAGGGAAGCGGGAGTTCAATTTCAATTAATTAATTAAATTGACGAGCTTATGAAAAGTTATATTTTCCGTAGTGTGTGTACGAACCGGCATTATGAAATGTCTACAACCATTTCAGGTTAGAATTTTCTATATGTTTACTATACAAAAGATTAACATTATAATAGTAGGCGTGTTGTGTTAAATATTATTACAACCGATTTTATTTTGATATTAATTATTGTTTTTAAATTTTTCATGCTTTATTAAATGTACTATTTTGCTTTTCGTAGCTTTGGTATCTACATTCTACTAATAAAACATCAAATTTTGATGTTTCAATAATAGATTGTAGATTGTAATAATATGGGAAGAGGAAGTTAATCACCGCGACCTTATAGATCTACTGTGTTCCCCGTTCTTGAGTTATAGCTCATCATACAGTCTCATCGCTTTGACAAAAGTTAGAATCTGAGACGGTTTTCCAGGGGGTAGTTCTCCATTTCCGATATCCGTCGTACCAAAGTATATGGCACGAATGGTTGTCTTGTCAACGCACTCAGTGAAGAGGTGTTTCCCCATTTTACCCATAGGATTTGCATTCGCCGTTGTTTCTTAGCTTCAATCTACTGAGGTGTTCATTGAGTAGTGTTAAAATACCCGTGATAATCCGATGATTGTTCTTTGTACTCAAATCAAGATAACTTTTTGATTTTTCTCAGTCATAAATTTGTCTTGAGAAATTTCTTCGACTGTCTTAGACCGTTGGAGGATTCCCATTCTAGATTACGGGTGGAGTTTTCCGGGTTCTTGAGTTCTGCTTTAAGTTGGTTTCCACTTGGGAAGCAGAACAGTTCTGATCCAGTTAGTGGAGTGTTCAATACTTTTCTAGCTAGATAGTTTGATTTTGCATTACCTTCTCTCCCTTGGTGCGCTGGCACCCAGAGTAGGAAGACTTTTTTCACTAGTAGAAGGAAACATTTTCTTTACAAAACAAGGTATTGACAGGTCTTATATTATAGAAACTCTCGCCAACATATACAAAGAAGCCAAAGCCAGAGTAATGATATGTAAAACAACACCAGAGTTTCTGAATATTTACATTTACTCTTGAAAAATCTACTACGTTACGTTCAAACACATTTATAATTTTTTAATTTTTTTATTATAAGTCCCGACTAGAATATTCACTTATTAAATTAAAAAAAAATAAAATAAAAACCGGTCAACATTTGGGTATTACGACGAGCTCCAACTGATATTTGCCCAAAGACTACTTTTATGAACTTATGGACCCGTATTTATATGTAAAATTTTGCCACTATACTCTCGAAGAATCTATTGTCCCCACCGTTTTTTAGGGTGGCTACTTGCGTTCTAATTGGTGCATTTTTTCTAAAGAATTTTGTTTACTGACCTCGAAAGGAGGCCCGCGTTCGACGGTCCCTGAGATTTTTCTAGAATTTTTTACTGACTGGACTTTGTAGATTTTAAAGGAAGCTTGACCATGTATTTAAATATTTATTTTTAATTATTTATACCTATTTGCAAAAATATCGGTTCACTACATGAAGTACTTATTGAAGAAACTCAATCATACTCAAATCTAGAATGCCACTTTATCTAAAGAAGAAAACATTCGACCAATGTGTACTGCCACTGATGAAGTATGCCACACTAAGGCAATACTAGAAGCCCTAGCGAAACAAGGTATTGACAGGCCTTATATAGAAACTCTCGCCAATATATACGAAGACGCCAAAGCCAGAGTAATGGTATATAAAACAACCCTAGAGTTCCCAACTGGCAAAGCAGTACAACATGGAGACGTGATATCCCCAAAGCTGTTTACAGCAACATTAGAAGAAATCTTCAGTCAGCTGGACTGTACCAACAAAGGATTAAAAATAGATGGAGAATATCTTAACCATCTAAGATTCGCTGATGACATAGACCTAATTGACAATAGTCCTGAAGAACTACAACAACAAATTAATGAACTAAATACCGCCAGCAATAAAGTGAGTCTCAAAATAAATCTAGCAAAAACTAAAATAACGTACGACGAACTAGAGGGAAGAAAAAACATACTAATGAATAACACAACACTGGAAATAGTAGAAGAATATATATATATATATATATATATATATATATATATATATATATATATATATATATATATATATATATATATATATATATATATTTGGGACAACTAATACACAGCTCGGGATCTTTACTACCAGAAATCAACAGAAGAATTAAGTTAGCATGGAGTACTTATGGAAGAAACTCAATCATATTCAAATCTAGAATGCCACTTTATCTAAAGAAGAAAATATTCGACCAATGTGTACTACCATCCATGACCTCTGCATGAGAAACCTGGACACTTAAAACGGACATCATAAGGAAACTGCAGGTCGCACAATGCTCAGTGGAACAAAATATGCTGGGAGTAACCAAGAGAGACCGTAAAAAAATAGAGTGGACACGACAAAAGACCCAGGTAATAGATGTCATCCACAGACATCAAATCCCTCAAATGGCATTGGGCAGGACACCTGGCAAGAAGAACGGAGAACAGATGGACCACAAAAATGACAGCATGGTAACCACCAGGAAGACCAAACCTGAGATGGGACCATGATATTAGGAAGTTAGCGGGGATAACTTGGGCCCGCATAGCCAACAGTAGACAACAGTGCAAATAGAGTATTTAAATATGCAAGGAACGCTACACCATAATTGGAAAGGTTTGAATAAGCTAAGAATGATGACGATAATGTTTCATTTCTGATCTATACAGGGTGTGTCTTAAATAAGTGCAAATACTTTCAGGGCAGGTGGATCTCAATAAAAGAAACATATTTTCTTTTAACCGTTTTTCAAGTAAGTTCAAAGTAACAGAGTTATTTAACATGGAAAATTTTGAGATGCACTGTATTTTTTCTGGGTTAAATTATTTCATAAACTACTTATGTTGCCATATCAAAATATTATATTTTTTAACTAAAAATTTTAAAAATCCAATTTGTGTTTCGAAAAATGTCAATTTTTTTGTTTTTTATTCTGTGCAAAGGGACTTGGGGAAGACGCGTTTCTGGGGTTGAAATGTACCACTCCTACAATATTTGGCACTTGTTTAAGACCCACAGTACTATATAGTTCAGAGCCATTTTAAAGCCTAAATTTAAAGGCAAACTAAGGATATTTTTAAGGCTAGTGTAGTAATAATATTTTAGAAGCGTCCATCGAAAATTCCGTCTTTTACAAAGATTAAACTTTATAGTTTAAAATTGTACCTTCACCATTTTGTCAAGATTTAAATTTTCAGTGAGAATAGATTTAATCTACATCAATAAAAAGACACAATAGTAAAAGTTTCTCATGCTTCATCTATTGTCTAACTAAAGTTCTAAACAATCTCTTCAAGTGAAACTTAATACAGATTCTCCATTGTGTATCTCTTGTAACCTAACGTAATCTCCGGCCCATTCGTTATTTGGAACGGGGAATTATTTTTAGAATCGCTAATTTAGTTTTCGTGTTATGACCGAGGTACATCGCACGTTTTAAAATAAAATTACTCTACTTAATACAACAACATTTATTTTATATATTAATATATCGCTTTTATCGGCTTGTTTTTAACTTTTATTGAATAAATAAATTATACTGAAGAGGATAGTCTATACGGCTTAAGTGTTAATAAAGTGTTGTAATGTCAGATGAAGGTAAATGTGAGGTGTGTAATAGGGAAGCTACTCAAAAGTGCGGTGGATGTCATGTGGTTCATTATTGTTCGAAAGAACATCAAAAAGCTGACTGGAAGAAACACAGGAAAGTGTGCAAACCGTTTAAGGTATAAATATAAATAATTACATAATTTTTGCCCTAAAAAAATGGGTTAAATATGTATAATTTCCTGTTTATATACTTTTACAATACGTTTTGGCCATTCCTGTATGAAAATTTAATGGATACATACTTTTTATATTAAAATGTAAAATAAAAATACCACTTTTAGTGATTCTACATAATTTCAAATACATAGAGTGTTTTTATTTTACAGAGTGAGTCTTAAATAAGTGTAAATAGCTTTAGGGGTGGTATACGTAGTTCGATCTCAGAAACATGTTTATGTGGTTTTTTTCGTAAATAGAAAAAAATAGGATTTTTTTTAAATTCTGTGCACAACATTAATTATTCCTTCATTTGATTATTTGGTGTAAACTGTATTTTGTGTATCTACGTTGAGATATGGGGTTGACTTACAAGTCACACACTCAAAAGATATTCTCCCATTCAAGATGTCTACTTTATCAATACATATTATTATAGCGGTAAAAACCTTTTTAATCAAAAATATGTCGCCACAAAAATATACAGGGTGGTCCGATATTGATGTGCATATTCTGCAGATAAAAATAAGTAAAAAGTTCGTATAAAAATGTATGTCCTAAAATGCCTAGTTTCGCAGATACAGGATGTAGAAATTTCAATTTTATTTCGATTTTTCCAAATAATTTCTAAAGTAACGTCAATATTTGGATGAAAATTAGTGCCCGGAAGTTTTTTGACACAAGAAATTTGATTTTAATGTCAATATGACTCATATTTTTAGGGGGCCCCACCTACATGTGTTTTAAATTTTTAAAGATTAATAACTTTTCGTCCGTACCTGTATAAAACTACCGATTGAAAAAATATACATATCCTTGATTTTTTACGTAAAAAATGTCTCTTAGTAAAAATCGCTACGAGTGACCGTTCTCCAGATATTTAAAATGGAAATAGTCAATACATGTCATTATTGACAAAAATAAACACTATTACGGTTGAGGGTTGGAATCTTTGGTGTTACACAGCAAAGTAAAACACTATATCACCACACTACAACAAAACACTTTTATTTTTACACTGGACGCGCGTTTCACTAACCATAGTTAGCATCATCAGCAGATGATTAAAAAACTAACTTTTTTAATCATCTGCTGATGATGCTAACATGGTTAGCGAAACGCGCGTCCAGTGTAAAAGTAAAAGTGTTTTGGTGTAGTGTGGTGATTTAGTGTTTTAAAAATAAACACGTTGAGTAGATAGTTATTACACTGGAATAATAAATTAAGGATATTTTTATTTTTTTAAATTTATCGTAATTTTTTCCCAAGAAGAAACAAAATATTTCAAATTTATGATTTCAGTCTAATAACTATTTAGTCAACATGTTTAATTTATGTCAGTGATGACATATTTTGATAATTTTAATTCCAAATATCTCGAGAACCATTACCCGTAGCGATTTTGACCAAGAGACAACGTTTTTACTTAAAAAATGTCCTAAATGTATATTTTTTACTCAGTAGTTTTATACAGGTACGGTTAATAGTCACAGTTATTAGTCTTCAAACCAGTTAAAAAATATGTATGTGGCGCCCTCTACAAGTAGGAGTCATATTGGCATCAAAATCAAATTTCTCATGTCAAAAAATTCCCAATTTTCACCCAAATATTAACGTTACTTCAGAAATTATTTGAAAAAAATCGAAATAAAAATTATATTTGTACGCCCTGTATCTCCGAAACTAAGCATTTTAGGGCATACATTTATACTAACTTTTTGACTTATTTTTATCTGTAGAATATGCTGCCGAAGTTTCCGGAATACAGTTCGGACCACCCTGTATAATAATGTCGCCAAACATATATATATATCTAATAAATGTCGTAAAATATATCGCCATAAATCTTAAAGTCTTAAAAATAAAGTTAGTATAAATAAAAACATATAAATTAGCTATTTTTGGATTATCTTCCATTAGTTACTTCAGATTATGTTTTATTTTAAGAACATTTTTTGAAAGCATGAGATAATTAAACTTAATAATTTAAATGTTAAATTAATTCCACATTGTAATCGTTTATAATAATTTGCAATCAATTATTGATTGCAGAACAAAACGTTAAAAATGTAAATAACTTTAAGAGTGTATTAAATTAGATTTAAATCTTTATCAGATTAATTGATTTTATATCAGTATATATAAATTTTTCTATTTGTTCTTAGTTGCTTATATTTCTTTTATTGATAAACTTGTCTGCGTATTTCCAAAGTAAAGAAGTATTATTGGAAAATTTTTAATTAAAAATATATTAAGTATATTTAATACTTAATACTCGAGTTATTGTTTAAACTAGAATAAATACGTCCAACTTAATTGGCTCAACCAACGGTCCGGCCAACGAAATTTGATCTCAGTTGAATTTCGCATCCTATGGGTTCACATGGATCCTATTTTAACGAAAAGAACATGTTTCAAAAACATGTTTGTACAAAAATGTAGTTTGAACTGTCCATATTATCCTTATACCATCAAAACAACTGACAAAAATTGGATGCTTTCCGTCAATTTCTTTCCACATGATACCGTATTCTCGAAAAACAAGACGTCAGAGACGGTTGGGGAATGAAAATATTGGCCATAATAATTGATGATAATTTAGGCGACGTCAATCTCTAGATGTAATTGACATAAAATCCGTTAAAAATTACCACTAATTAAAGAAAGATTCGTTATCTCCGTCCTAATTCCGAGGCAACATGTTTGGCTTTTTAGCGCTTCTTTGTTTTCCAAGTGTTAGATTGCTAGTCTAACGTCTCAACCCCTAACCTGGAAGACCAGAATTTTCTGTAGGGATTTATTCCCTTAGCCGCAAGGTTCCAGTTTTTAGCGCCGGAAATTCGCCGATAGCGCGTAGTAAGATAGCTATGTAACGCACACCCACTGTACGCCACACATTGCCCAGGAGATGCCCAGGAGTCACGACCAGGACGTAGAGGTAGGATTTGTTGGTCCGTCCGTTCAGACTTCGGGCATTTCCCAAGGTTTTGATATGATATAGAGTGCGGCGCTATATATCACCCTCGAGACCCATAAACCAACCATATGACTCCCCAGTGCAAGAGTATCTAAACTGGACAGAGTTAGGAACGTGGAAATCAGAGTCAAAATGAATGCCACACAGACAATAGTGGATAGAGTTGAACAGAGGGGCCTTAAGTGGTTTGGACACTTGCTACGCATGGAACATCAAAGATGGCCCTACCGTATCTACAGCTGGTCACCTCCTGGAAAAAGGAAAAGAGGACGGCCTAGAAGATCCTGGAATGAGGTCATCAGAAGGGCATATATATAAAGAAAGATCAAGAAAAAGTTTCTCAGAACTTACGACCGAGAAAAATCAAAGATTTTCATTGATTTAAGTAAAAACAATCTTCGGATTGTCACGGGGTTTCTAACAGGACACTGTCTCCTCAACGAACATCTCAGTAGGCTGAAACTGAGAAACAACAGCGAATGCAGATTCTTTGGGGAAAATAGGGAAACACCAGAACACCTTATCACTGGGTGCGCCGAGACGACAACCGTTCGTGCCATGAACTTTGGTACGGCTAAAGAGAGTTGGCCTCTGTGGAGCCGTCTCAGATACTGGCTTTTGTTAAAGCCCCGAGACTGTATGATTATAACTCAAGAAAGAGGAACACACAACAGATCTGTAAGGTCGCGGTGATTAAGTCTCCTCCTAAACATTCTACAAAGAAAGACAAAAGGATACAACCCCCCCACGTTTCCAGACATACAAATCTATTTATCTCTTATTTTGTCTCTATTTTTTTCTCTATTTCTCTCTTGTAGAATGTAGAATGTTTAGGAGAGGAGTTAATCACCGCGACTTTACAGATCTATTGTGTTTTCCCCTTTCTTGAGTTATAACGAGTTATAACTCATCATACAGTCTCAAGGCTTTAACAAAAGCCAGTATCTGAGACGGCTCCACAGAGGCCAACTCTCTTATTATAAATCCCATTTAAAAATCAAGTTTACTTAATATAATTGCAACATGACGTCTAGGGTTTGACCTCGCTAAAATTATCATGGATTGTCAATTAAACAGATATACAATTGGATAACAATTCTACAGACGATCCGATTTTTCATCCACCCTATGTATAATTGACATTAGGATTTGTGGATTTGTATAATCAGAAGATTCAAAATATACCAGCAATAAACGACCAATCATTTCTTCGAAATTTATTTTTTGTAGTAAAATACTTCAAAATCTTAATAATTAACTTCTTATTAATATCAATATACTTTTGTTTTATAGACATTTAATGTATAACATTTTTTTGTTTAATTTCAGATACTGAATGATGAAAAATTGGGTCGATACCTCGTTGCAACAAGAGATATTAAACTAGGCGAGGTGATTCTACAAGAACCTCCTTTAATTTGGGGGCCAACTCAAGTGACTGTACCCGTATGTTTGGGTTGTGGTACTGCCATAAAAGAAGACAATTATAAACCGTGCACGAAATGTGGCTGGCCAGTATGCAGCGAAATTTGCGAAAAATCGCCAAGTCATATTCCAGAATGCCAGTATACTGTCTCAAAAGGCTCTAAAGTAAGTTTATGTATTGAAGAATATGTCCTGGTACCAAGACTAACGCAATTGCATTAACATTGGTACTCTCACCCAATGTATTTAGAGCATGCACACAATCTACGCTAGTCTGGAATGGAGCTTTTTAAAATTGAGTCCCTTTAGCGGCTGTTTGGCTGTCTACGAGGATGGCAACTGAATGATGTGGTATTTTCTGCCTAACTAGGTATTTCTTCTGCGCAATAATGGATTATACAACCTTATACAACCCTTGTTTTATCTATTTTTCTATATCTGTTTATATTTTTATAAATTGTGAAGGATAATTTATGAGGACTTACATCGGGTTAGTCTTAAATAAGTGCAAATATTGCAATTAGTCTTAAATAAGTATAAATATGGCTGGTAGATCTCGATAAAATAAATATATTTTCTCTTTATCGTTTTTCAAATAAATCTAAAATAACTGAGATATTTTACTTTGAAAATTTTCAAAAAAAAACAATGATTTTTTGTTAAAATTTTGAGAACCACTGGATCTTTTCTGGTTTTCTCTCTTGTAAATTTAATCTACTACCTATGTTCGTTTGGTTTGGAATATAAATCAGTTACATACAAATCTTATCCGTTATCAACAAATTATATACCAGTTATCAACAAATTATATTTTTGGTTTTTCTATTTTTTAACTAAAAACAAAAAAGAATCCAAAAAAATATTCTAAAATTTTTGTTCGCGATAAAAACATCATAATCGTGTTTCTGGGGTCAAAATGTACTACCCCAAAAATATTTGCAAATTATTAAGACCCCTATACAGGGTGATTCACGGCGACGCCGACAGCATGTTAGACTTTATGGAAAACCGGTGATAGACTTTTTTTGAAAATGTTGATCTATTAAATACGCTCCATCTATTTAAAATATTTTTAGCGTTACAACGTTGCCGCATCATTTGAAAAGTGGTAGCATTTTTCTTATTTTAAATGAAACATCCGGTATATTATAACATTTTTGGAAAGTAAATCTAAATTATTACCTGAATAATTTTTCTATTATACTAACTTATACCTATCTCTAACATTTTTTGTCTCATTTTTTGATATAATAAATAAAACATTTGTAAAATGGACAAAAACATGATCTTGAATAATCACTGGTAAAATTATGAAATAAACATTTTGAGAGTTAAAATTTGAATTATAAATTAAGGAAAGTTGGTATATTCGATCTGTCTAAACCAACTGATTGGTTATTACAAAAGGGGAGCAATAAAAATATTTATGTTTGTTATAAAATTACTCAAATCTTTGTTATTTTAAATTCAACTCTTTACATATATTATTTAAAAAATCAAAAGACTAATAAAATACCTCTTCAACGATATATCATGTTCCTATACCTAAACTTTTCGGTTTCTTTAAAAATTAATAATTCGTTCACTTTTCGATACGACAAAAGACCCAGGTAATAGATGTCATCCACAGAATCAATTCCCTCAAGTGGCAATGGGCAGTAGGGTGGTGCGACATTTGAAATTTAGAAAAAACAAAACTCCTGGGTGCGGAAAACTTGTCTATGATAGACCCAAGTATTTTACTGTTATAAAAAAAAAATATTGGACTTCATTTTCCACCTCCCCAAGGTGAATTAATGTATGAAGGGCAAAAGGTCGACGGGGAGGTGGATAATGAAACCAATTCGTTTTATTTCATTAGGAAAAATGTATTATCTTCATCAATCGAACCTCTACAACAGTCAGGCATCTTTCTTGAAAATTTTTTTTTTGAAAAATTAAAATACGTCAGAAGTAAAAGTTTTAAAAATATTAGAAATTGTAGTTACTACTACTTACTCTGTTAGAGAATAGCTTACAAAGGCCACTACAATGGATTGTCTGCCAGTTCCATGCCAATGAACTCCCTTTAAGGCATTTATTACAGCATTTGGATGGGACCACAACCGGCCCTCGAGGCTTTCAAGGGATCCATTACCCATTGGAAAAGCCAATAATTGTGAAAACTTCCCTTTGTTACCTTTACAAGAATTGAATACACCATTCCAGATATGCCTACTAGCGATCTAAGTTCGGATTAGAAGTATATGTACGATATATCTCGAGTAATCATGAGTGGTACTTGGACGGAAAGCATGGCAAAGCGCGACCCTGGACAGCTTAATCACTCCAGGTGGTTGACTACGAGTAACAGAATTCTAAGACTGTATGCTTCTGCTGAAGACCCGTCTACAAATTCAGTTACATTAGCGGGACGTTCATAATGAAAGTTTATGCACCGATATGGTTCAAAATCAAACTTCATTCTTCATGCATTTATGGACCCAAGCATATTTTTGAAACCATCAGATTATGTAATTACTTACCAGAGGATCTTAAAAATATAGTCCAATCTGTCATTCAGAGAAATGGTTACTTCGGATACCCTAAGAACATATTGCTAGCAATGCTTTGGGATGAAAGAATCTATATTAGAAAACGTGCCTACCATAGAATCTTAAAAGTACGCAATAATGAAGATAATTCAATCCATAGTAACGGCGTTCGCAGTTTTATTATTGGGGAGAATTGATTAATTGATTGAATCTATCAGCTCTTCATACAGAAAGCTTGTTAACATTGATAAAATGAAACAAATAAAAAAAACTGCATCATCCTCTCACCAAAAGTTAACAAGCGTTTTTAATTTTCGATTTTTCTTTTAAACCAATTTTGGATCTGTGGGGGTGGACGGGGATAAAGCAAAAATCTAAAAAAAAACTGCATCATCATTCTCTTACCAAAACACAACTTTTTTCATACAGGCGTTTTCAATTTTCGTTTTTTTTTGTTTTAATAAATTTGGACCTGTTGGGAGGGGGGTGGAAGGGTGGAATAAAATCTCAAAAAAAACTGCATTATCGTTTTACTAAAACACAACTTCCCCGCGTACAGGCGTTTCCAATTTTCGATTTTTTATTTTAATAAATTTTGGACCTGTTGGGGGGGTGGAAGGGGGTGGAATAAAAATGTGAAAAAAAAACTGCATTATCATTTTACTAAAACACAACTTTTCCGCATACAGGGGTTTTCAATTTCCAAAAAAAAAAAATTCCCCTATACCGACGCACCACCCTAATGGGCAGGTCACCTGGCAAGAAGGACGGACAACAGATAAACCACAAAAATGTCAGTATGGTACCCACGAGGAATTAAGAGACCTAGACGAAGAACCAACCTGATATGGGACCATGATATTAGGAAATTAGCAGGGATAACTTGGGCCCACATAGCCAACAATAGACAACAATGGGCCCAACTCTCGGCCCAACTGCAAAGAGAGTATGTGAGGAAGGCTACACCATGATTGGAAATGGTTAAATAAGCTGAGAATGATGATGATGATGCTGATGAGCAAGTGAAGTCTAATTGATACTTATAAAGTTTGAATATTTGTGATGGTAACGGTATTCTTTAAACAAAACAACTACATATAGAATTATTATCTTTTATATGGCTTTACTGAAGAAACCAGAAGGTTTAGGTATGCAGGTTTATAGTTTTATTTATATTTCGATTTTTTTTAATATTATACATAGACTTGAATTTAAAATAACCATGGTTTGTGCGAATTTATACCGATCGGAAATATATTTTTTTGATCTCTCAGTTTTATATCCAATTGGTTGATTTAGACAGGTCGAACATGTCAACTTTCCTTAAACTATAAATCAAATTTCAGCTTTATTTATGATTTAGCCAAAGCTTATTCAAGATCACGCTTTTGTCAATTTTACGCATGTTTTATTTTTTATCTCGAAAACTAGTAGAGATAGGTATAGGTTATATATATATATATATATATATATATATATGCTATATATATATATATATATACAGCATATATAAGAGTAGCAGCAGAAGAAGACTATATATATATATATATATATATATATATATATATATATATATATATATATATATATATATATATATATATATAGCTGCTTGCTTATATATATATATATATATATATATATATATATATATATATGCTCTTTCTTATATATATATATATATGTATAGTTCCGAAAAATGTAATAATGTACCGAGTGTACAATTTAAAGTAAAAAAGATGCTACCACTTTTGAAGTTGCAACACTATAATGCTGAAAATAATTTGGAGATGGAGCAGGTGCCTTTTTACAAAATCTAAATTAAAAAAAAACGATCAACGGTTCTCCACGAACAATTTTTATATACAAATTGAAAAATACAAATTTTTCAATTTGTGTTTTATCACTGATTTTGCTATTCACTGATTGCTATTTGCTGATCGCTGCTTGACCGAACTTATTTGTCTTGACAGACGAATGAACCTAAGAATATTTCCATATCTACGCTAGCTTCTCACATGAATTTCTGCAATATATCTATTATATGGTTTTTCTAAATTTCAATAGCAATAAGTGTCTCATCCCCCTTAGAAGGCCGACAATAAAATTAATCATCTTAATTGATGAAAGAAACAATTTTTGATATATAAACAAACACAGAATATAATAAAGAATTTTGTTTACCTGCATAATTTATTGGATTATGATTTATATTTTCATTCTTAGTAGCTAGTGAATGGAATTTAATATTTCTAAAGACTAGCCTCCATATTATTAGATTTTTATAATTAGTTATATTTATTATTGCTATTTCATCATTATTTTATATTCTATTTTTATTATAGGTTTGCATTTCAACATTTGGTACAATTCACCCTACCTACCAGTGTATCACGGTATTACGTTGTCTGTATCAGAAACAATTCTTATCAGATATTTGGAAAAAGCTGGATAGACTTCAGTCACACTGTGAAGAAAGAAAAATATCAGGAAAATATGAAAAAGACAGGATAATGGTCGCTCAGTTTATTTTAGGGTTTTTTAAATTACGAAATATATTTACGGAAGAAGAAGTGCTAAGAGTTTGTGGTATTGTTACGGTTAGTATGGACATTTTATAGACATATGATAGTAATAAAAAGTTTGTCTTTAAGTTTAGTGTAAGTGCAGATAACTGAGTACCACTCTTTATATTGTTTTCAGATAAATGGTCATGAAGTTCCACTGACGACCCCTTCGCACGTAGCGATATACGAATCTACTTCAATGTTCGAACATAGATGCAGTGCTAATTGCAACAAAACTTTTACTGATCAAGGATCTATCTTAATCAAATGTGGTACTCACATTAAAAAAGGTAAACTTAAATGTAGTTTTAGGGCTGTTAGAATAATATAATAAACTACGCTTTTTTAAGTACAAAAACATTTGATTCTTTTTGTGGCCTTCAATTTTTTTAATACAAATCTTTGTATCGGCTAGTTGTACTGTTGGTTTACTTAGACACGATATTTTTGTAGTGGTGATTTTTATTGCCACTGACAATACAAAGCAAGACTAATTTCTTTAGCAAGTAGCGACTGATAGCCGTTTTAAATATAATATGTATCCGGAAAGATTTCACGCATTTTACAGAATGAAAAAAAAACCTTTGATGTGCTAGTTAAAAAAGCTTCAATCAGTGATACAAAAGGTATATTGAAGTCCGAATCTTCCTTTATTTTTTACCAAATTCGAGTAACGTGTCAATAGCACGTAGCGAAAAGAACCAGTTCTATATTTGAAGCAGTGGCGTGGCATGCTTCCACGACAAATGACACGTTTCTGACAGCGCTACTTCAGTATGCGCTGATTCACTTATTATCGTTCGTTCAGTTCGACGTAACTTGCTAGATACTTACTTGCCAGATCACGTGCCACGTCAGGCGCTACGTCACTTTGGTGGGCGCTCTCGCTAAAAGTTAATTTGGTATCGCTTATACTCGTATATAGGTAGCGATCTATAAAATATATTGCTGTTTATTTAAATGCGTTTAGTAGTAAATTGAGCATACTCCAATATTTGTCTCTGCATTCTTGAAATTTCTTTCATAGACACAGATCCAGTAGATCCATTTATTTAACTGTTTATTTCCAGGAGAACATCTTAGTATATGTTACACGGATCCATTATGGGGTACCGCCAACAGAAGACATCATCTCTATGAATCGAAGTTCTTTTGGTGTTCTTGTGAGAGATGTACGGATCCCACAGAATTTAGTACATATTTTAGTGCAATGAGATGTCAAAATGGGTAAATATTACATTACTTAAACGAGATATAAGTTAGCAATATTAAATAATACTAACCTATACTCACCAAGCAAAAAATGTCACATTATATTTTCAACATTGTTCAATCAATGTGGAAAGAGAGGTATATAAAATACAATTTAAAAAAGAAATAGAAAGATCTTTAAAGAAATTTAAAAAAATAAAAGTTCCCAAAAATTTATCATTTCAGTTAAATGACTATCTAGTCAACATGATTGTTTTTGTCAATGATGACATGTATAGATAATTTACATTCCAAATATCGTTAGAATAATAACGGTTACCTACCCGTAGCGATTTTTACGAAGAGGCCTTTTTTTACGTGGAAAGTGGCAGAAATATATATTTTTTTACTCAGTAGATTTCTACAGGTACAGGCAAAAAGTTATTAATCTTTAAACTACAAATGGGAGTCCTATTAACATCGAAATAAAATAAAACATCCAGACACAAATGTTCATCCAAATATCGACATTAGTTCAGAAATTATTTTGAAAATTTCGAAATAAAATGAAACTTCTACACCCTGTATCCCCGAAACAACGCATTTTAGGACATAGATTGATACGATCTTATTTAATTAGTTTTATTTGCAAAATGTGCTACAGAAGTTTCTCCCAAATATAATTCATAACACCCTGCAATTATAATTTTATTACTATTTCTTACCTATAACATATTACAATTAATCGGTTTTAGTCTTACGATTTTTTTTAATTTTGACTTTTAGCAATTGCACTGGATATCTTCTTCCTCCCACTTTTATAATAAACAACGTAAACGAAAAACTACCAGACTGGAAATGCAACAAATGCTCATCCGTATCATCCGCTCATCACATGCAAGATTTGCTGGACAGAATCGGGCAAGACCTCCAAGATTTGCCAAAAGGTGAATCGCGAGCTGCCAAGGATTTTATCAAAACCTACGAGAAATATCTTCACAATAATCATTATTATTTGACGGATGTTAGATTCGCCTTAACACAATTAATGGGCCACGAAGATCAGCGAGGACTACCTGGTTTAGATGAAGACGATGTGGAATTGAAAGCCAGACTCTGTCAAGGGTTGTCGAAGTTAATACAAATTTTAGCTCCTGGTATGCTCCCCTTAATTTAACTCGATTTTTTTTATGTACTTTATATACAGGGTGTTTCAAAAAACATGTGCCATCGGTCGTGGGGAGATTTTTCACGTAAAAATAAGACTTATTTTTCATATATCAACATAGGTCCGATTCTGCTTTGTTTCGTAGCTACAGTGTGTTAAAATCTTAATAATCTTTCGATTTATTATAATTTTCTACCAAGTACTTTAAGTGATTTAAATGAAATTTAGGGGGTAAAAATTACTAAGTGTTACATATTCTAATGCTAAAAAAGTGTCAATTAATTCATCAGGGACGTGTATATGGGTTATCACTGGAATCTTTTTCAAAAAAAGCGTGTACGCCACTGACTTTTTTCTTTTGTGATCAAAATTGTGTAGGCAGTTTAATGCCAATTAAAAGTAATGTCTTGATATTTTGTCGAATTCGGCCTCCTTGATAAGATAAACGCAATTTTATTAATCACAATTAATAAAATAAAAATAAAAATTAAATTAATAAATTATATATATATATATATATATATATATATATATATATATATATATATATATATATATTCAAACAGGTGTCTTGGGGATGCAGTCTAATAAGAAGGCCGTTAGTTCAAGGAAAAACCCTTTATTGTTTAGTCAAGCTTTCGAGAATTCAGTTGTTTCTTCTTCAGGACTCTTCTACAATTATAGTAATTAAATACAATTTCTATTCTTGTAAAAAAACTATTAAAATGCAACTCACCAAAGTGGGATTATGGTAAAGTTTACAACATTGCTCAACAATCAAAAGAATCCTCATTTCTCAAATGCAGTAGTAAAAATCAACTTTTAAAATACACGTGAAAACTAACTACAAAAACTTTATAAAAAACAATACAACGTATATGTGAGTACAAAGTCAAAGCACGAAAATTGCATGTCAAAAATCTTAAAATACAATAGCAATTAATTCTGCTTCATGAACGATCTAATTATTTTATTGTAAATACTTAAAAGACAAAAGAAACGAATTAATTTTCAAGATTTTCTTTACAGTAAAGTGCGTTTCTGTTAGCACCGCCGATCGTTCACTAACGAACACCATAGTTTCAAAAAAGGTAAAATATGTTACTCTTGATAAGTAAAAAAGGATAAACTTATGCATATAATAAAAAGAGTGAAAGAGAAACAACTACATAGAAATATTTTGACACATTGGTTCGTTTCATCAGCGAGATCGACCATGCGCAATATAACATCAATGCTACACTGAGAAAACAGGCATTAGACAACTTGATAAATTAATTTAAGTAAAAAGAAAAAGTTTTTCTTTACATAGAACCAGACTAGAATTTACTTTAGAATTGAAAAGAAAAGCAAGATCTCAAAAAAGAGAGAATTGTAATACAAATTTTAGTATAAAATAATATCTTAACATTCAAATGACATTAAGCGATGGTGAAATACAAAAAGCGATAAAAATCTTTTCAGAAACTCAACAATCAAACCCCACCCAAGCTACAGTATGAAAATATAACTATTGAGAACCTTGAGTAGCCACTTGTCGCAATGAACCATATTTACCACTGTACAAGTCTAAAATGTAACCGTAAATAACACTAAGACTCTGGGTGTCACTTCTTTTATTCATGGTGTTAACTTGTGAATTTATGTGAACCATTTCACAAATTCACAAGTTAACACCATGAATAAAAGAAGTGACACCCAGAGTCTTAGTGTTATTTACGGTTACATTTTAGACTTGTACAGTGGTAAATATGGTTCATTGCGACAAGTGGCTACTCAAGGTTCTCAATAGTTATATTTTCATACTGTAGCTTGGGTGGGGTTTGATTGTTGAGTTTCTGAAAAGATTTTTATCGCTTTTTGTATTTCACCATCGCTTAATGTCATTTGAATGTTAAGATATTATTTTATACTAAAATTTGTATTACAATTCTCTCTTTTTTGAGATCTTGCTTTTCTTTTCAATTCTAAAGTAAATTCTAGTCTGGTTCTATGTAAAGAAAAACTTTTTCTTTTTACTTAAATTAATTTATCAAGTTGTCTAATGCCTGTTTTCTCAGTGTAGCATTGATGTTATATTGCGCATGGTCGATCTCGCTGATGAAACGAACCAATGTGTCAAAATATTTCTATGTAGTTGTTTCTCTTTCACTCTTTTTATTATATGCATAAGTTTATCCTTTTTTACTTATCAAGAGTAACATATTTTACCTTTTTTGAAACTATGGTGTTCGTTAGTGAACGATCGGCGGTGCTAACAGAAACGCACTTTACTGTAAAGAAAATCTTGAAAATTAATTCGTTTCTTTTGTCTTTTAAGTATTTACAATAAAATAATTAGATCGTTCATGAAGCAGAATTAATTGCTATTGTATTTTAAGATTTTTGACATGCAATTTTTGTGCTTTGACTCTATACTCACATACACGTTGTATTGTTTTTTATAAAGTTTTGTAGTTAGTTTTCACGTGTATTTTAAAATTGATTTTCACTACTGCATTTGAGAAGTGAGGATTCTTTTGATTGTTGAGCAATGTTGTAAACTTTGCCGTAATCCCACATTGGTGAGTTGCATTTTAAAAAATTTTTACAAGAATAGAAATTGTATTTAATTACTATAATTGTAGAAGAGTCCTGAAGAAGAGAACAACTGAATTCTCGAAAGCTTGACTAAACAATAAAGGGTTTTTCCTTGAACTAACGGCCTTCTTATTAGACTGCATCCCCAAGACACCTGTTTGAATATTTTTTTCTCAACTAGTCAGTCGCGTAGACTACCCATCTCTTTATATATATATATATATATATATATATATATATATATATATATATATATATATATATATATATATATATATATATATATATATATATATATATATATATATATATATATATATATATATATATATATATATATATATATATATATATTACCTAATTTATTATTAAATATTATTACTATTAGTCCAACTTACAGCAATTTCAAATAAAAAAAATAATGGTATTTAAAATAATTACGAAAAACCTAATTTTAAAAAGTTTTAACTTTTTTTTTAAGTTTAAATGCTGTAACTCTAAAACTATGCATTTTCATACGCATGTTTATAGGAACTTTTTTTCATATTTTTTGATGAAATGAGTACTTATATACTTATTACTATTTAAAACTTTCAGAAGTTAATGATATTAATTTTTTTTAAAGGTTCCTAGACTTCGATCAAGGCAAATTAATAAAATTGCGTTTATCTCATAAAGGAGGCCGAAATTAACAAAATATCAAGAGACAACTTTTAATCGGCATTAAACTACTTACACTATTTCACTAACAAAAAAAAGCCAGAGGAGTACATGCTTTTTTTAGAAAGATATTCTAGTGATAACCCATATGCACGTCCCTGGTGAATATGTCGACACTTTCTTAGCTTTAAAATATGTCGCATTTATAGTAACTTTTACCCTCAAAATTTTATTCAAAACGCTAAAAGTACTTGGAAGAAAATTATAATAAATCGAAAAAATATTAAGACTTTAACACCCTGTAGCTACGAAACAAAGCAAAATCGGACCTATGTTGATATGAAAAATAAATCTTATTTTTAAGCATAGTAGAAGGAAACTAGTAGTTTTACTTCTTGTCAAATCCTTTGTTCTTTTTCTGCCACTTTATATGACCTTGTTCTCGCCACCCGTGACCACCGACCGACGTAGCTGTATAGTCGTCGTCTATTAACTAGGCAAAGTATAGTCGTGACACTCGCCATAGTTTCACAGATATGTATTTAGGAAAATATGAGTTCACAATAAAATAAAATAAAATAAATTGATCATCAAGTAAAAACAAGCTCGAAAACAGAATATTTTCACATTTCGTGTAGGTAACAATTCTTCTGTATCTGAAAATCTTCCGATGGGAAGAAATGCGGAAAAAATATATAATGACATATTTTTATATTATTATCTATTTCAGAGATTTTCTACAACTTTTTTTTAATTTAAAACAAGTTTAATTTTCTGTAGATATCTGGATTCGGCATAACATTCTGCATATGGACTGAAGATGATTCTTAAACACTGTCTTTATTTAAAGCACACTGCGGTGTTGCCATTCTATTTCTTATTTATTAAAACTTTGGTTAAAAACATTATATACGAAAAGTGGCAAAAAACTAGAGTGAATATAACTTTATTAATACTTAGCTATGTTTTCTTAAACATAAAGGATACCAGAATAATATACAGGATATTTTTTATGGCGTCACCAAAATCGTAATATTTAAAATGTTGTATCTCATGTTTTTTAAATGGAACACCTTGTATATTATTTTTCTTTCAGATGTAGAATTAAAAGGTGAAAATTTTTTGTATTTAAAGTGTTCTTAAATTTTTAGCCGTTTTGCAAATATTTTCTGTATTTCATTACATATGGGATTTTCAACGATAAAATATCAGACAAAGATCATATTAGGTGGCTTTGATAAAAATTTACTGATGAAAGAGCCATATGTAATATAATACTGCGAATATCTGCGAAACCGTTAAAATTTAGAAACTCTTTAAATAAAAAAATGTTTACTTTTTAATTCTGCATCTGACAGAAAAATAACATACAGAATCTTGTATTTAAAAAAAATGAGATATACCATTTTAAATATTCCGATTTTGGTGACGCCATAAAAAATACCCTATATAGAATAATGTATATAGAATGATATAAAATAATTAAAAATAAATAAAACTAACTTTACCATAACTTTTTTTGTGACACCCTGTATATAACAAAATATTTTAGGATACGCCCCTTTATAAACCTTGAAACATATGATCATATGAATAAAACTTTTTTCACATCTTCGACAACGACGACGATATTGGACTTCCTCGCACTAATGGGCCACCCTGTATATTTACGGTGGTTTAAAGCTAGGTGTGGCACTTTTCTTCCCTCAAATATAAACTCAATATTTTGTCTATAATATTTTGAATATTGTAATATTACGACCACTTATAATAAAAAATAAATAAAATAAACATAAAAAATACAGTTCACTAGATTTATAAGAGATTATGCTATTATAAAGTTCTTTCAATTACAAAATATGAATAATTTGCGGAGACTTTAGATGTACAAAATATTTACTCTAAAATTGTTTCAAAAACCAATCTATATAAATTATCTCGTAAATTATTATTGGAATGAAAATTTTTAAAATCTGCCCACATGCTAAAAAAAATAATAACATTTAATTAATTACATAATATCTCAGCTTCTAAAATAAACAAATATAATTAAATGTTAATTGATAATTACTATCAGCTTGCCGATTTACATCCGATGGAAATCTAAAAAAAAAAAAACAAAGAACAATTTTTTGAATTATTACTACAATTAATAGCAGCACACAGTAAGGCACTCATTTTTTGTCAATCCGTCTCTGTGCTGGGACGCAACGCTCGAACCTCGCAGCTCGACGGACTGAATTCAACTGAAACGCTTTGCAATCTGCCGATATTCGACAGATTGCAAAAACTGGCAGAAAATATTTGCGAGAGTGCAACTACTCTTTTCCTTAAATTATGTTTTAAGTGAGGAATCTCCCCACAAGAGATGACACATAGTTTTTGAGACACCTTGTATACACATATATTTTTTAAATAAAATTTGTATTAGGTATTTTATTAGAAAAATATATCATGACTTTTTTCAAGTGAAGCTTCTTTAGCACGTTGGGAGTAAAAACTCAAGCAGATTCACAGGCCTTGAATCAGATTCACATTACTTTGCTACTTTTTAATGAAACTAAATATGCTATACTATGTTTGTCCTAGCCTCCTTAGTTCCCGAAATACAAGGAGAATATATGATGCGCAGTAGTTAACAGATGTTGAATACAGATATCATGCGCAGTAGTGAACACAACGTCTACCGGCAGCCAGACGGGCCGCACTCTGTTTAGGAGAGCATAATAAAATATATATTAAAAAACCAGCAATCTTAAAATTCTCGTTCAAAAACGTTGCTAGCTCTTAGACTATAAATCAACAGCGATAGCTCCCAACGAAAATCTAATTGAATCACTAAATTCTACGTGAAAACCGCATCTTTGTACCTCTACTAATAACCAAGAAATCTTGAAAAACACAGGAAAATAGGATACTCTGTACGTTGAATTAGTCGATATGATTCTTTAGGATTAAACCATAGACTTAAAATAAAATATAAATTGAGCATCTCATTCATAAATAGCTGGAACCTGCGGTCAGACAATGTCTTGTTATTGTTGTGTTATTGTTTTAGATTATAACGAGTGCGACACAAGCGATAGATAGGTTGTCTCTGTCGTAACGGTCGTTCCCTGACGACTCTGACGAGAAACGCAACACTGTCTTTCGTTTCTCAAGTACACCTGAACTCTCCGTATCATAGCCGGGTATTTTTTTTATTTTAATGAAGCTATAATTAAATTAAAAATATATCGTATTTAAACTTTTTTTATATTTTATTAAGATTTAAGAGAGGTTTTTTTAAATAAACGTTCAGAAAAAACGTCTTAGAGTCCAAAAAGGATAAAAATCATAAAATACATGTTATAGAAGAAATTTTATAATCGAAATTACGTAATTTTTGAAATAAATAATAAATTATTAATTTTAGTCAAACATTTTCAACCCCTAATATTAACCAAAACAGGATCTATTCTACAGATATAATAGAATCGGCGACAGGGAGAGAAAAAAAATTATGATTGTTATGTTGTATTTTTTTTTCTGGTTAAGTGATATCTTATTATGTAAATTAGAGAAAACATAAATCTGTTCCATTAAAGCAAGGAAGGTGATAGAAAGTGGATAAAATGAAAACTACATTTATTTAACTCGGTACTGTCTTTATTATACCGGGTGCGTCCCAAAAGTGGCTCATCCCCATAATTATTTTATTTTTTCAAATAAAAAAACAAGATTTAGTATGTTAGTATATGACATAAATTAGGATTGATTGACGCATTCAATTGTTTTTGGTCACTTCCTGTTTCACCGGAAATGACTATAACTGTAATTTTTAACTAGCACCCTCGGTATATTTCTACTTTATTCGATAGAAAATGACACTCTTAATAGAATGACATATCATATGTCAACTTTTGACATTTTCGCATATGGTAATATGTAACACGCGTATAGTAATTGTAACACGCGGTTCATAACGACAATTTGACTCGAAATACCAAGTGTATGGTATCAATATATATGTATTCATAAAAAAATGCTTTTTCCAAATATGCTAATGAGTCATCCTTGTTCCTTTTGAAAAAATTGACATATGATAAAAAATATGATTTTTACATCTTTTAACCGGCCTAGACAAGACACGAAACCCAGGCTCCTTCCAAGGCTCCTTGATTAAAACTTAGTGTTTTTAACAACACCATGGCACCCAGGATTGGAATTTAAAATACGATTTGTTTTTAAGCGACAATGTCAAAAATTGACATATGATATGTCATTCTATTCAAAGTGTCATTTTTTATCGAATAAAGTAGCAATATACCGAGGGTCCCTTTAAAAATCAAAAGATGTAATCATTTCCGGTGAAACAGAAAGAGACCAAAAACAATTGAATACGTCAATCAATCCTAATTTATGCCATATACCTACTAACTTACAAATCTGTTTTTTTATCTGAAAAAATAAAAAAGTTATAGGGGTGAGCCACTTTCGAGACGAACCCGGTATATTAAAAAATATTGTTTCATAATGTAATATCGTTTTAAAATTCTTGTATTTTATTTTAGATTCTGAAGATAATTTTAGAATAAACAGGAATATATTTTTAATAAAAACATTATTAATTATTAACAGGGTTATAATTATGATTTTGTTACATAAACCGTTATATAAATGATTATATAAGAGAAAAAAATTCAGATTATACATTTTACAAAAATATTATCTAAATAAGCGCCTTTCTACAACAACGCCACTGACTCCCAATGGGTAAATTGAGAGTTGCCTACCGGTCGCAAGTCATTTCAAGACTTAAATGGATTATTTAAGTCAAATTTCTTGCAAATTTGGCATTGGCGAACCATATTTTATAGTTCTTGAACAGAAAAAGTAAATAAAATAAACACTTAAGGACTAAATGCGCTAATACAGCCGGGGACATAGCGGCAACAAAGCTTTACCGCACACGTGCGATGCGTACTACAAGGTAATAAATGAATGAATAGGCGACCTCGCCTCTAATCGGTGTTGCCATATTGTAAAGAACTTATCCTTTTTAAATAATATCCGACTTATAATTTAGTAGTATAAGGGCTATTTAATACACCTATGGAATATTAAAACCTACTTTATTAAAATGCTGTATTAATATCTCAATATATGTGTATAACAAGAAAAAAAATATTGATAATATTGTTAGTATTATTTGTGATTTATAGTTGATTAAATGTGTTGTGAATTGTAGTTTATCGGAAAGGTTCTGTGTTTTTATTTAATTGCTAAAAATATTAAAGACGTGACAACATAGGCTGGATGAGGAAGGCTCGGTCGACTGATGTACCCAGAAGTAAACATGTGTACAAAAAAGATTGTTTGACCGCGTCGAGATGTAAATAGTGTAGTCTATATTTTATTTTAAGTCTATGGATTAAACTATTTAGAATAGAGCGTATAGAGTATAATGCTCTTAGTACAAATCAAAGTCAAATTAATATTTTGTATTTGTGATAACCAATAAATGTACTCAACATGCTACTTGTTGAACTGTAAATATTGTTTATTTTAGGAGAAACTAGAATGAGAGGCTTAGTTCTTTATGAATTGCACGCCACTATAGCAGAGTTAGGAAGAAGAGGCGGTGATCCCCATCAGCTTACTTTTGCATTACACGTAAGTATTAAGTATTAAAGTTCCTCCTGCCGTACTTTGTCTTGTCCCGTCGCCTTAGTTTCCGAGACTACTTGCCTTATAACAGATTACAAAATCACACTGTAAATAAATGAAGTAAGAGTAGCTTGCCGAATATTCCTTTTTGAAATGTTTTTCTTCGAAATATGTTTTAAACAAAACCATTTTGTTTTATGTGATAGAAAGAAAGTCAGTTTCTAGTTTCAAAAAAAGTGTCAAATAAATCATCTATTTTAGCTCTAGTTTTGTAATGTTAACTTGTAGAATGTAGAATGTTTAGGAGGAGAGTTAATCACCGCGACCTTACAGATCTATTGTGTGTTCCCCTTTCTTGAGTTATAGGTAACGAGTTATAACTCTTCATACAGTTTCAGGGCTTTAACAAAAACCAGTATCTGAGACGGTTCCACAGAGGCCAGCTCTCCATCCTCGGCATCAGCCATACCAAAGTGGCCATGGCACGAATGGTCGCCATCTCCGCGTACTCGGTGATAAGGTGATCTGGTGTTTCCCAATTTTCCCCACAGAACTTTCCCCACTACTGAGGTGTTCATTGAGGAGACAGTGTCCTGGTAGAAACCCTGTGACAATCTAAAGATTGTTTTTACTTAAATCAAGGAAAACCTTTGATTTTTCTCAGTCATAAGTTCTGAGGAACTTTTTCGAGTGTCTTAGACCGTTGGAGGACCGTTTTTCTAGCTAGATCATTTGCTTTTTCAATGCCTTCTATCCATTAGTGAGCAGGTACCCAGAGTAGGTGTTAACTTACTTTTTTCTGAACCTTTTTTCCTACTTTCTGATAAGTATTTCCTTTTAAACTTATTTTCCTCACAATACTCTTTTACTCTCCAGTTGTAGGTGTAGGTCGATTTTGAATATCATCAAGCCTAAAGTTTAAACGTCGTCGTGTCGACTAGCTGCTCACCAGTAAAAGCTTGGTAAAAACTGCTCGACACTTGGATTTTAATACTCATATTTTTGATTTACTAAATAATGAAATTTCTCGAGCCAATTAAAATTGAAAATTTGAAATTTGTGAAACTTCTAGAAGTACCTTAGAATTAATATGTCACTTTCAAAATTAAAGGGATTATTATTATGATTTAGGGAAATTAAAGGAAATAATTCGTAGGATAATACATACAATTTGAAGTATTGTTGTTACATTGATATAAGAATAAAATTAGACAATATCAAATGGATTAATTCTAGTTTTTAACTTTTTGTCGACTGGATAGTCAGTTATCGGTAGCGGCTGGTCATCATCATCATCATCATTTTCAGCTTATTCAATCATTTCTAATTATGGTGTAGTCACATCCCTCACATATTTAGATATTCTCTTTGTGGTTGGGCCCATTGTTGTCTATTGTTGGCTATGCTGGCGCAAGTTATACCTGTTAATTTTCTAAAATCGTGGTTCCACCTCAGGTTCGGTCTAGCTCTCTTAATTCCTCGGGGGTAACCATGCTGTAATTTTTGTAGTCCATTTGTTGTCCATTCTCTTTGCCAGGTATCCTGCCCATTGCCACTTGAGGAATTTGACTCCGATCTATTAACTGGATCTTTTTTAATATCCACTCTATTCTTTTACGGTCTCTCATGGGCAACCTGCAGTTTCCTTATGATGTCAGTTTTAAGTATCCAGGTTTCTCATGTATAGGTCATGACTGGTAGTACACATTGGTCGAATGTTTTCTTCTTTAGATAGAGTGATATTCTAGATTTAAATATGATTGAGTTTCTTCCATATGTACTCCATGTTAACTTAATTTTTTTGTTGATATCTGGTAGTAGAGATCCCGAGCTGTGTATTAGTTGTCCCAAATGTATTTCAATAGTATTTTCTTTCCACTTCTTTCCACAGTCGGAGAGATACATTTAATCGGACCTTTTAAAAAAATAATTTTATTGTTCTATTTTGAAACTATTTGAGACTGAGTTTACCAAAAATGTTTTTTATATCTACTAGTGGGTAAATGAATTTGTAAATATAGTATGACTTTTTTTAAAACTTTATTTTCGGAGGTATAAATTTAATCGGACCTTTAAAAAAATTATTTTATTTTTCAGAAACTATTTGGGACAGAGTTTACCAAAAATGTTTTTATATCTACTAGTGGGTAAATGAATTTGTAGATATAATATGACTTTCCACTTTCGTTATATACTACTTTAGTTTTTGCTAAATTCATTTTGAGACCCACTTTATTGATTGCTGTACTTAGTTCATTAATTTGTGCTTGTAGTTCTTCAGGACTATTGGCAGTTAGAACTACGTCGTCAACGAATCTTAATTATTATAAGATATTTAGGTTAATATATTCTCCCTCTATTTTTAATCCTTTGTTGGTCCAGTCCAGTTGACGGAAGGATTTCTTCTAGTGTTGCTGTAAACAGCTTTGGTGATATCCCGTCCCCCTGTCATACTTTCCCAGTGGGGAACTCTGAGGTTGTTTTTTTTTATATCATCACTCTTGCTTTGGCTTCTTTGTATATATTCGCGAGAGTTTCTTTATAAGGCCTGTCAATACCTTGTTTCGCTAAGGCTTCTATTATTTCCTTGGAATATATCGAGTCGAAAGCCTGCCCAAAGTCTATAAAGTTTATGGCTAGTGGAAGTTTGTATTCTTTTATTCGGCTGATAGTTTCTCTTAGTGATCTGTTAAAAACTCTGTGACATCCGAATATGGTTCTTACCTTACTAATATCAACTTGCTACTTCTGAATGTTTAACTGTTCATTCTACATAACTTTTGTTTTACTTAGGTTCCACTTCATGTTAATATCTACTGTTTTCTTTTCAATTTTTATTTATTTTATTGATAGATATATTTTTATTTCGTAGGAAGCAAAGAAAGTACTTCAAGAAGCTGCGGAACTGCTAAAGAATGAACCGGCGTGCTTACAAGAAGGAAAAGTTTATAAACAGGCGCTTAAAAATATAAAGGAAATAGATGTTGTCCTAATGACATTACATACAAACATAGGCAGTTCCCCCAGTTAACTTATTATTATTTTTGTTGTTTTTTTATATTTATTAGTGTTGAATTATCGTTTTGTTAATAAATTTGCTAATAAATTTTTTAAAACGTTGCTAACTACAACTTTATCTTAAAAGTTTTATACGTAAATGGCCTAAATCCTCCGTTTTCCTTTCTGTATTTTAGGTGTTCTTACTTGGTGAATAATTATACTCATATATTTTATATTATTTACATTGTACTTAATACAATAATATATAGGAAGATGAACGCTTTAATTTTTCATTTTATAGTAGAGTTGACAGTTTTGTATTATTTCCCAAACATCACTCACTGTGACATTAGATTGTGAAGAAATATAGTTATAATTTTAAGTTCTACTTAGGTACTAACAAATAGTAGTGTAAAGTTTATAATCATCTGCTGATGATGCTAACATGGTTAGCGAATCGCGCGTCCAGTGTAAAAGTTAAAAGTGTTTTGGTGTATTGTGGTGATTTAGTGTTTTTATTTTGCTGTGTAACACCAAAAGTTCCAACCCTCAACTGTAATAGTGTAAAATTTGTTATGAAGGAAACTATTATTACTATTTGATATTATTTGTTGTGTCTCTTTTTTAAAAAAGTCTGATTTCCCAAGGTAAGCTCATTTTATTACAAATAATATGTATTCTACATGAACAATACATTACCAATAAATATACTAGTAGTTATATTTGTCACTGTAACTTGATCAAATCATCAAAATTATTTGAAGAATAAGAAATCTGTGACAACCAATGTGACTATTATTAAAAGCATTGTTTTACACAGTGTTTTAGCTTGCCATAGGCTTTGAAATTATTTAAAAAGTGTATAAGAATATAGAAAAGTAGATGAGCCCTGCATAATTTACTTTGCTTAAAAATTTGGAACATATCCCAAGCAGCATTTGGACGTCGGGACAACGTTGTGTCACGCGACCAAACGTCGGGGCGCAACGTCGGGGCGCAACGTCGGCACAACCTCGTGCCAACCCTAGTCTGCACTAGTTTGGAGAATAATTTTTGGGTTGAAACGACGTTGGATACCGACGTTGGCTAGAAGCCTAATTTAGTACAAACTGCAACGTTGTTTAAAATCCTAATTCACAGTAATACAAAACTAATATGGCGTCTAAGTCGCGTTTTATCCTAAATTGGGATAACTATAGTAAAAATATTATTTTTATGATTTAGTTAGAGACATATGTCAGATGGCAGTGAAGGAAAACAAAACAAAAGTATTTAAGTGTGGAGGATGTTTGAAGATTATAATTATTGAAACACTTTAACCGACTCTGTAACTCGTTACCCAAGGCAAAAAAGTTAAACGCAAACAACTTTATTGATAAATGTATTTGAAAAATACTAATGGGCCTTAAAATTAAAGAAGTTTTACAAATTTTCTTGATTTTTTTTTTAGTAAAATGAGAATAATTTATTCGCAGTCGAAAAAATTGTTTCCGCGTGTTTTTTAGGGTCAAATATTTCAAGTTAATGTATTCAAAAAGCAGGAATTGCTATTTTAGGAACGAAACATTTTCTTATTTAACAACATGGCGGCTTTCACTTTGTTGTTTTGGAGATTAAGATGGGGTAGTTCGAGTAGTCGCATACTGGACTAATAAAGTCGCAGTTCGGCCTTAACAAGTAGTATACTAGTCGCAAGATTGCCTAATTTAGTCATCCTAGAGTCTAGCTTGTGCCGCCCTATAATCTAAATAAACGAGGGAGTGGATAAACTATCAGTAATATATGTCGATGTATATTTAAATTTAGTTTTATATGTACCTTTCTTATGTCCCATTTTAATTAAGTTTTTTTTATAAAAACAAAAACAGCACTGAACTGTCTGACTGAACAGACAATGAAGTGAAAATTTAAGTTTTAAGGTTATAGTTCAATACAGTTGCAAAAAGGTAGTGACTCGACGTCCTACCAACGTAAGAATAAGGAAATATAAACAACGTTGGAATTAGTAAAACAGACGACGTTTGCATAACGTTGGAATAGGTCCTGAAACTGACGTCGGAAATCTTTATATTGTTCAACGTTGTAACTACGTTCTCCGAATCACCTAAAGATCACTTAAGCAAAAAAGGTTACAAGACAACGTTTATTCGACGTCGCAGAAGTTTCTACTTTGCTGTAGTACTAGTCCAACGTCGGCACAACGCTATAAAAACGTTTAAATTTATATTAATACCCAAGGTAGGGAGCTAATTATTTTTTGTAACTAATCCAACGTTGTGTTTAGTAAACATGTGGTCGCAAGTCGTGAAAATGCTACTTGGGATATTTCTTTATATCATTTGCAATACACAGCTCGGGATCTCTACTACCAGGAATCAACTGAAGAATTAAGTTAGCATGTAATACTTATGGAAGAAACTCAATCATATTCAAATTTAGAATGCCACTTTATCTAAAAAAGAAGACATTCGACCAATGTATACTACCAGTCATGATATATGCATGCGAAACCTGGACACTTAAAACGGACATCATAAAGAGACTGCAGGTCGCACAACATTCAATGGAACGAAATATGCTGGAAATAATGAAGAGAGACCAAGACAGTAAAAGAATAGAGTGGATACGACAAAAGACCCAGGTAATATATGTCATCCACAGAGTCAAATCCCTAAAATGGCAATGAACAAGACACCTGGCAAGAAGGACGGACAACAGATGGACCACAAAAATTACAGTTGTTATTGTTAATGTTGATTGAAAGAATTGGGAAGATACGCAACCTAATAGGCGAATTCGTGACAAGGCTGATTTGATTTCCCCTTACCATCTCAAGTGCTGTACGGTGGAGACGTTCTACGGTCGGGATCGTTCTACGGTCAACGCATAAAACACTTATTTCCTCTAATTCGACCAGCGAAGGCATATTGAAGACTGGTGTGGATCTGAAAGCGACAGTGTTGCTACATTAAAATGTGTAATATGTGTAATAGGTTTGACGAAAATATCTTTGGATGAAAAATCCGCGTTTATGTATTGAAAATTTATTCGCGTTAAACATAGAATAAACAACAAAAATAAAATTCTTTTATAGATATTGAATATGTCGTATGATCGAAAAAAGTCGTTTAGATGGCTTGGAAATGACGATTAATTTACCATAATATTTTACACATAAAATAACAGCGATCTTTATTTCCATGCCAACTCTGACGCTGTTTTTTGTTTCTTCTTCTTAAGGTGCCGTGCAGATTCCTGCGTAGGCGTTCATCTTTTTCTTCCTCATCAGATATGGTTCTATTAATTGCAGCGACTTGGAGTGCTTGGAATTCCTGTATGCCTGTCCAATGACGAATATTTCTCAGCCAGGATACCTTCCTTCGGCCTATTCCCCTTTTGCCCCCCTCTATTTTACCCTGGAGAATCAGACGCTGAAAGTGATATTGTTCTCCACGTAGTACGTGTCCCAGATAGGCTATTTTCCTCTTCTAGATAATTTCGAAGAGTTCACGTTCTTGTTCATATAACAAAACGGACCAGACATATCACTTCGCCATTCTGTATCTAAGGCCGAAGTTCAAGTTCCTATCTGTGAGAAATCTTCGAAGTTTCAGAAAAGTTGATCTTGCTTGTTCGATCCTGCATTTGATCTCCTGATCTGAATCCCACCTTTCGTTAACAATGCATCCCAAATATTTAAATTGTGTGACTTGCTTGATGACCTCTCCCTTTAAGTAAATTCTGGTGTTCGGAATGTTGTTTCTGCTAACAGCCATAAATATCGTTTTTGTAGTATTTATGTTTAAACCCAGTCTTTGTCTTTCATTGTTAACCTTATTTAGAAGGATTTGGAAATCATTTGCATTGTCTGCCAATATCACTGTGTCATCCGCATATCGGATATTATTAATTGGAATGCCATTTATTTTCAAACCAGTGGGACTATCGGAGATTGACTCAGTGAATGCTCTTTCCACATATAAATTGAACAACATTGGAGACAGAATACACCCTTACCTTACCCACTTTTTTATTTCAAAATCTTCAGTTACTCCCACGCTATGTATACGAATTTCAGATTTTTAGTTCCAATACAAATGACTGATGAGCCTTATATCTTTTCCATCAAGTCCCAAGTCTTTGAGGTATAATATAAGGAGGTTATGTTTAAGATTATCGAACGCCTTTTCATAGTCTATAAAGCACATGAAAACATCTTTTCTCTGATCTTGGCAATTCTGTACTAATGTTTGAAGACTGAATATGGCTTCTCTAGTGCCAAAGCCGTTCTTAAATCCAAATTGATGTTCTCCAGTTACCTCCTCACATTTTTTGTAGAGTCTTGTATGTAGCACCCGTAGAAAGAGCTTTATAAGGAAGTGACTCATTAGACTAATAAGACGATACTCTTTACACGAAGTTGCGTTACTTGACTTGGCAGCGTTTTTTGTTTAATCATATAATATTATATTAAATCGTTTAATGATATAAAATTATTTTCATTTAACATTACAAAACCAAAACTCGATATCTCGGAAACGATTGGATTTAGATAGGTACATTATGTGTATTACAGTTTTTGCTTAAAATTGAAGGAAGAATTGAAATACCCAATAATATACAGGGGGTTCCATTTAAAAAAAATAAATCTTTGAGGTGCCACGACTTTATGACCAACCTTGATGTGAAGCATTTAAAAACCCTATAGCTTTTGTATTTAACTTGTTGCAGGACCTCGTATACTTTGACCAATAATTGACCATTTCCATTCATATCAGCGACCCTGTATATGGATACGTTACAGAATGATGACTACTAACAGTTTTAGAACATTAAATAAATGAGGAATCGAGGTTATTTAATAATGTCTAAATAGTAGTAATTTTAGAATTTATACTATTCAATTGCTTGATATGAAAATGGTGGATGCGCGAGGAAATCTAGAATAGTCTAATATTCGTACACTATTTAAATCAGAAGTGTTTCTTAAGATTTACTTAAAATTAAGGATGGAAATATTGTGGAAAAGTGTTATCGATAATTATTAATATCAGCATCTCCTACACAAGGAAAGAAAATATATTATTAATTATTAATTTACTTAAATACATTTTATTAATATTTACCGACGGAGTTACAAAAGAAGAAATGAGCTAGAGTAGGGTCTGTAGAAAATGCTGCTTTTTTATGTTTGATTCTTTTACCATCATCAAATATAGTAAAATGTAACTGAATATCATAAAGCATGAGGTACTCAAATATAAGCCATATTTAACCAACTCTTTGGTTCTATAATATTACTCTTCTAAATAGCATCCTATATTTTAACAATAACAATATTGCATCGTTGATTGTATGGAGTTATTGATTAAAATCGTTTTATTTTATCAGTGTCGATAAAACAGGCTAATCGATAATTACGTATCGTGAAAATACCCATCCCTACTTCAAAAAATTAGGACGATATTTGATAAGGATAATGATTCTATACTGTTAGTAATATTTCGGTAAACATTTAGAAAATAATGAATATTAAATTATTAAATTTGCAGTAATGTTTTGATGAAATATTATTTTGTAAGTAAATTCTATTTAAAATATTTATAGCTATAATGGATATCTTTGGTACTTGTAGTGTTTCTATTTACTTTACTTCGTGTATTAGGTACTGCCACAATGGTACTGCTTATTATGTGCCTTTTACTCACTTACAACACATTACCATAACCAGAAAGCGGTAGTCAAGAGATATTATTAACCTTCGATGGCAGGTCATTTTTAACTTCTTTTCAAACAATAACAAAACCTTTTACAACGGTTATATTGTTAAATTTGTGAATTTTATATTATTCTTGTGGCTTGTTTGTGGTGTTATTGATTATTAAAAATGAGATGTATTATAGGTAAGGACATAAAAACGTATTAATTCAAAAATATAAATTAAGATTTTTAGTTTGAAAAATCTTTCGAAAATAACACTGTGTAAATATTTAAATATCGTAACATTTGTTTCTAATTGATTGAAAATAATGAAACTAAATATAAATGTAAATATGACTAGAATAAATATTAATTTTCTTTGTGATCATTGAAGAATTTTGCAAAAGTCCACTTTTTAAACTAATGTTTGCTAATATTATAATATAGCTTGTTTAAAAAATAAGGGTAATAAAAGTTTTTCATATAAAATATTTCGATGTAGTGTTTTCCTACACTACACAAATTAAGTTGCTTGGTTATACAGGGTATTCCAAAATCCCATAGACATAGAACTACTATGGTGTTTTTGGAATAAGTAATAAGTGCTTTGGACACAATTTACCTCCATAAAAAAATTGCTTCGTTTGTCCGCTAGAGGGCATTAAATTTAAAAAAAATAAACACACTGATATTTTAAAAACCGTTATTTCAGTTGGAATGATATTTTAGGTGTCTATGTTTTGCAAAGTGCCCTATTTGACTTTCACAAAAATCAAGAAAAAGTACGGCAAGGGTCAAAACTACCCTCACCCCTACATAAATTTTAGTATAAATGTTTTCCACTTCAACCGATGATCGTTTTTTTTTCCTAAAATGGTCCTTCTAATACGTTCTAATATTTATTACATTTTTTGTCTCTTGCAAAAAACACCACCGCGCATACTTTTTGAGGAAAAAAATATTTTTCCGAAGCTGACATCTAAAAAATGTTTTTTTTGTCACATCAAACTATGGAGGCCCATAAAATCTATTATGCACTAATAATTTAGTTGGCGAAAAAATGGAATTTTATGTTAGTATCACAAATTACCTATATTTTACAATATGCATCATAAAAAACTTAAAAAATTAAAAAAAAATGGCGCCGGGAGGCACTTATATGGCAGATAACATAATTTAGATAATACATAAAAAGTAGATAACACATATAGTGTGACCAACGGATCTGTAGCTACGGGGTATCGGCAGGGGAACACAGTTGTAAACAAGACACGCACAATTTCATTCATAAAATAGGCATGGGCGTACGGTGTTTTATGAAAATAATGTGTATCATAAATATAAATTCTGATTAATATTTTTTTTTCAAAAAACTTTATCCTGTTTGAATCGTTACTGTTGAATTAGCAGATAAACACACTAAAAGCTTTTATTAAAGCTCCCTTAAATATTTTGAATAATTTTGTTATTATGTGTTGTTAATATAATAGAAGAAATAATTACAGCTGGGGGTTGGAACCTTTGGTGTTACACAGCAAAATAAAACACTAAATCAGCACAATACATCAAAACACTTTTATTTTTACACTGGGCGCACGTTTCGCTAACCATGTTAACATCATCAGCAGATGATCAAGACTGAGTCTTGAGGTATATTTATTTATATATCTGTACTAACTATATTTTTTTCTACGATACATAATTTTAGATATAACTATTTCCAGCGAAAAAAAAATCTTGAAAATAGTTAACTTTGGAAGCGCAAACAAAACATAATTTTACTCACCAGTAGATCCAATATTGCCTATTACACCAGATATGGTATCGCTCCGCCAGCACTTTTTAAAGGTTAGGTCATTGTCTACCCATGTCATCCAAATAGATAATACTTGGCGATATTTTTGAATTTCGCGTATATATTTATATCTCTTTCTGCAATATAATGGACCGTTCCATTAATATTTATCTGGTATTTTAACATTTACGCCAAAAAAATCCATTTGATTTTAATAACCCCCTAAGCGTTTCCCTGCCAAAGGAAAATTCGATTCTTCCTGCAAGTTTTGCAAAAGCTTTCTAATTGTGGGGACGACTTTGAATTCGAGATAAAATCTATTTATCAAATTCCTGCCCACTTGGAAATCAAAGTCGTCGAGCTCACGTAGCCGTTTCTTTCCAGGGCTGGATATCATTTTATCGGGGTTAGTTTCCAGTCTTTTTTTATCTTCTGTGTGAATTTTTTTATAGCCGATACGCTAACTCCGGTATAAAGAGGTATCCGCTCAAGTTTACGTTTAAGTGGCAACTTAAGCGAACTCTCTGTAGCTTCTTCGTCGCAAACCCTGTTATGAACATAAGGAAATAAACCAAATGAGATTTCATCCACGTTTATTTACATTTATTTTAGATTAGCTAAAATATTTAGGTAAAATGGGTGCTTTTCATTTTAGCCAATATTTAATTTTAGTATTCTAATAATTACATTATTATTATTCTACTTACCTATATAAATTATTTATTATTTCTCTTGTCCTGGCTATGTAGCGTCTTACCCTTAACAAATTTATTCATTTTAAAACACAAATATACGATCAAACTTAATATTAATAATTAAAAACTACGAACGAAAAACATTATAACAAGATAACAAAACAATAAAACACATTTTAACTATTAAATATACGAAAAATATAGGAATAAAGTTTAGGATAACCGGTATAAAATAATGAAAGAAAGTAATAATGATCAAAAGAATGACACCGCCACTGGATATTTCAATACTATTCAATATTTCTACTCTTTTCAGAAGTAACCGTGAAGTTGGGGATAAGGCTAGCGAATAGGAAAGGCGTAAAAGCCATGGCAACCGCGTGGTAACAAATCCTGTGACGTACTCTCGCCAATCATGTTCCATGAATAGGCGGCCATGCGCGGCGATGCCGGTTTGCCAATGATATCGTTGAAATATCTTCACCTTTCGTAATAAGCAGATTATACAGAATGAAAGAAATAAGTTATTAAATAAAACATATCCAACAATATGAACTACGTTAAAATTCCTTAGTAATATACGTCAGAATATATGCTAAACACATTATATATAATAAAAATATATTAAATTTATAGTTCATGTCTGGCAATTTTGCAATTTTATAGATAAACGTGGCAATATCGATTTTTTTTTCTCGCATTCCTTCCATAGCTTCAGATCCGTTGGTCAAACAGTAAATAGATAATACATAATTTGATTATGTGTTATCTGTGCTTATAGCCGCCCATACTAAAATATGTTAATAAAAAGTTGGTAGGCAGTTCTTTTAGTTTCAATTATCTCAAAAACTGCGACTTTGACTGATTTTGATGTTATTACAAATTTTGTTGCAAATATTAGTCCTAATCTTAAATAATCGAAAACCGCGTTTCGCTAGCTACTGTAATTTTGGAGTTACGATTTTTAAAATTTTTTAATCCCCTCCCATACCCCCTTACCAACCCCCCATCCCCACGAAAACCTAATGGCCAGATTCTCGGGTGCCACAGTATTTTTGTGCCAAATTTGGTTAAAATCGGTTTAGCGGTTTTTGAATTATCGTGTTACAGACAGACAGACAGACAGACACCATGAAAATATTTTGTATTTAGGTCATTTATGACCAAAATAGCTCATTTTGAGTGAAATTAAAAAAACTTTTTTTTTGTCGATCTTAATAGCCTACCATACCTCTTAGTATGGTCAGCTAAAATGAAATTTTAAATTAGTTAACGTTCGGGTTTATTTTTAATGCCCTCTAACGGACAAACGAAATACTTTTGTATAAAAGGTAAATAAATTATGGGCAATTAACTTATTTTGATTAAAAAAATACGTAGTTGTTTTATGTCCACGGAATATTGGAACTACCTGTATATTTTTGTAGGTGTGCTTTGGAAAAATAAGTTCTCTAAAAAATGTTTCTCCAAAAGTATGCGATGTCGCGATGTGGCGTTTTTTTACAAGAGACAAAAAATTTAGTAAATATCTACTAAAGGGACCATTACGCAAAGAAAATCTGTCGTTAGTGGAAGTGGGAAATACCTCGGAAAATACTTATACAAAAATTTATATAGGGGTGGGGATAGTTTTTGCCATTCCTGTACTTTTTCTTGATTTTTGGAGAAAGTCAAATATTAAAGCACGTAGCAAAATATAGACACCCAAAATATAATTCAAATTATTAAATTTGCATTTAAAATATTTTTTTGTTACTATACATGATGACATTTTTTTTTTCAAAAAAATCAATAATAAAAAATTATACTTTTGCCACACCCTGTATAATTAATATAGAACGTCGGGGAATCTACAAACGTAATGCGTTCAGTAATTATCAATGGGATGCTACTACACTAACCTTGTTGAATATTCGATACTCAATACAACAGATTGTTAAAATCCTGCACAGTATTAGCTTTGTCATGTACGCGTACACATTGTTTATTAGGCTATGCGTGCTAATCAAATGACTTAGTTTTCAAAAGAAATTTTTGTTTAATTTTTAAGAGTAGATAAGATATGGTGTTAGTAATCGCAGTTGTGGTACTTCAAACATATTCTAAATATTGTGTTATTTTAGGTAATAAGGTGTTGTATGTTGCAGTGCTGTTCTGCTTAAGCAAGATTGCGTGTGCCGAAAACATGGCGCTGAAAAAAGTGTTTATAGCTAATCCGTCAGTGCCCAGAGTAGCCTATAACATTTTTGAGAATTTGTAAGTAATAGATTGTTAAATATAATTTATATATCTGGACAAAACACGGGGTATTTCGTCACTGGATATCAAAAAAGTTATTTTTGTACAATGCCAGTCGGCTAGAATCCAAACGGGAACTAGCTTTTCAGTATTTCTTTATTGGTAATTAAATTTGCCTAATCAACAAAAAATATTTAATGTTTCAGGGGGTATATCACAACCGTTGTTAGAAGCAAAAAAAAAGTAAAGAAGAATTAATTTATAATAATAACAATTATTATTATGTATTTTTTAACATTTTTTTTTCAATTTGTATTTTTCTTCTGACTATAGGTGGAGACATGGTGGAGACATACTCGTACTAGGGTTCAGAACCGGGCAATCCCGGTACCGAAAATACCGGGTTTTTTTCAGACATAAAAGAACCGGGACTTGAAATTATTAATTCCTTCCGAGTTCTTTCGGTACTTTCGAGACCCGGTAATTAAAAAAATATTTTTTATTACATGCGAAAGTCCATTGATATTTTCTAGCGGTCGAAATCTAATTCTTCCAAATAAGCTGTGATGCTATCTTTTACTGTTCTGACTTCTGAAGTTCTTTTAATATGGTATGTTATTATTTAATCAGGTTAAAAAGCTGCTAAATATATTAGTTATATTTTTTATGTTATGTTTTTCTAGCCATTTGCATTTTTAATTGAAAATGTAAGGTCTTTTTTCAGATTTAGTTAAGGTTTATGTTGTTTAATGTAAAGTTTAAGTTACCTTTTTTTTCTTCACTTATATTTGTCCATTTGTGTTCATGTTAATTTTCTCATGATTGACTACTTAATAATTTGATATTACATATTTTCATGTAAAACTCAATTTTTATCGGTAACACTTTTGAAAACCATCCCTTGCTTGTTAATTATTGACGAACTGCACAATCATTGAATGAGCACAATCAGTGAATTAGTGTTTTATTTTGCTGTTGTAACATCAAAAGTTCCAACCTCCAACTGTAATGAATATTTTTTATTTGTTTTGTTGCTGTAATAATAACCGCCTGGTCATTTTTAATAAAATCCAAAAATTCTTGTATGCGATATATGAAAATTAAATGAGATTTGAAGTTCCGTTCTAATGAGCTTAACTGAACATCTATTTCTAGCGTCTGTCTACTTCAACATCATACGTGAAAATATATTAATAACAACCCTAAACAATGAAGGCATATAATTTACTCTAGTTTTAAAAATACTTTATTTTTATCTATAATTTTTATATCCATTTTGGCAAATTTACTTTACGCAAGTTTATTGGTTGTAAATCTTAAAAAATGGACAAAATGCATTTAGTAAGTCTGCTACTCAATTATTGAGGTTCCAATATTTTATTTTATTATTTAATAGGTTTATGTGAATTTTAAGTTACCTATGTTTTTTTTCTTTGCTTGTGTTCAGGCTATTTTTCTATTTAAAAATCTCAATTTTTTATCGATTTTACTTTGGAAAATCATCCCTTACTTTCTGATCGATGATTTCTGATACCGGAAGTACCAAAAAAACGAGAAATCCAGGTTCTTAAAAGGCTGGGTACCGAAACTCGCGGTTCTGAAAAATTCCCCTAAAAAAAGAGCCCTAATTCGTACTCTCTATAAGTGTCTCTGTTGATCAGGCAACTTTGATTAGAAGTAGAATGCGTGTCTCTCATTTTTGTAGTTAATTTTATATACAGGGTGGCCCATCGAAAACGTTCCGCAAGGCATAACGGCCAGGGTATTTATTTTTTCAAAAAATCCAAAACACGTCAATTTTGTTTGTGAGGGGGACAACTTTTGCCCCAAAAATGATTGCAAAATATTCAACCCTCTAAGCGGGGGTGTCATCCCCCAACTTTTTTCAAATGGAAAGGGGGGTCAAGTTGCGCCGCAATGAAAAGAGCTTTCTATTCTCTATATTTCCCCGCTTCGTTTTTGAAAATCGGTCGAGTCATTGAGAAAATATGAAGGATTGAAATTTGAAAAGTTTATTTAAGCATTTATCAGAGTAAATGATAATTAAGGATAAATTCCACCAATTTGCTGTTTTTTCTTATTATTTCTAGATGTTTACGCATTTTTTCACTTGCCACAACGTTGAACGATCAGGTGCGGTAGTTGCTAGATAGCTGTTCTGTGACTTGTACGTTGAAGTTCTTCTCAATATCGTTAAACTGACCCACAATGGAATTTCCAAAAATACCAGCCCACACGTTCAATTTCTGAGGGGTTTGTGTGTGCACCTCGTGAAAAACCCTGGGGTTGTCCTCAGCCCAGTACCGACAGTTGTGCCGATTAACTACACCGTTCAACACACTCGTTCACTCATAGCTTCGCAAAATTGCAAGCAACGATCAAAATCGTCTTCGTTGAGTTCTTGTACCAACTGAATTTTGTACGGGTGGAACTTGTGTTTTTTAATATCCTTTGGTACGATTCCCGCCGGTCTCATTGGCAAATTTTCTTGTACACAGAATACTGTCCATGGCAACTTGGCCCAATACGAATACCTCCATAGCTTCATTAACTACAGGATTTTCCCCCTGCCTCTTTTTATTCATAACAGATCCAGTTTCGCGAAATTTTGCTATTAACTGGCGAACAATTTTGCCATAAAGGTGTTTTTTGCAATTCTGCGCAACCCGATTGCAAACATCTAGAAATAATAAGAAAAAACAGCAAATTGGCGGAAGGAATTTATCCTTATCATTTAATCTGATAAATGTTTAAAAAACTTTTCAAATTTCAATCCTTCATATTTTCCCAACGACTCGACCGATCTTCAAAAACGAAGCAGGAAAGTATAGAGAATAGAAAGCCCTTTTCATTGCGGTACCCCTTGACCCCCCTTCCCATTTGAAAAAAATTGGGGGATGACACCCCCGCTTAGAGGGTTGAAGATTTTGCAATAATTTTTGGGGCAAAAGTTGTCCCCCTCACAAACAAAATTGACGTGTTTTTGAATTTTCTGAAAAAAATTACCCTGGCCGTTATGCCTTGCGGAACGTTTTCGATGGGCCACCCTGTATTTTATAAATACAGGGTGAGTTTCCTACGATGTTCTCTATGGGTATCTCGGAAACTACTGGAGATAGAAAGTCAGTTAAATGGGGAAAGAATTGCAGTTTTGTGGGGTCATAAATATGCACCTTTCAGATTTTTGAAAAAGTTCATGGCTTACTAGATATTTCGAAAAAAAACAAATTTCGGCTATTTTAAAAATTGTCCTAATTCCATTATAATCTATTTTAGACAAAAAGTTTTCATATAAAAGTTGTAGATAATCACATCCTTAATGAGATTAAAAAAAAGGCAGGCAAATGACAGGCTTTAGAAAAAAGCGGAGTGTCCTCCGCTTTTTTCTAAAGCCTGTCATTTTTAACATATGACACAAACATATGTTTTTTTAAATGGAAATCATAGTTGGCCATGACTTCATAAAAAGCGCCATTTTTAAGCATTTCAGCGATATAAGCTATAATATGTTTTTTTTTTCGAAAAATTACTGAGTTATAGGCAATTCTTATAATTTTTAAACAATTTCACTTAGTTAGTCATGGAAACAAGTTTAATCGTCTTTGCTCTCAGAAATGTGAAGCTGTCACATCCGAACTTTGTAAATTAAAATAAACAAAAATTGTAAATATGAAATTTTCAAATGAAGAAAAGCATGTAGGATTATTGGTTCAACTTTTCTTGACCATACATTTTCGAGAATACGTTGACAGGTGAATGTTGCGTTTTTAGAGAACGGTTTTCAAAACATGTTAAATTTTAACATTTAGAAAAGTTAAATTTAGTTATAGCAAATTCTTATCTTTCTTGACTAATTTCACTTAGATTGTATGGTATTCTTATTCTGTTATGTTTGTAACCTATAAAAAGTCAGAATATAGTATTAAACGGTTCTTTACATTTTACATTACACAAACTAAAACTGAAAAAAATAATACCACTACATACAGTTTAAGTTATTTTAGAAAATGTTGCTTTTTAAAAATGAATTACTATCATTCTCACAGAAGGACCGGTCGACTTAATTAAACTTCTCTCGTACCGCTACTTCGAGTGCCTTTTTTAATTCATAAGTTTTTTTGTAAACCTTATTCTTAACCATACAGCATAAGAAATCTAAAATGGATAAGTCAGGTGATCGAGGAGGCCCATGCAATTGGTCCACCTCTTCCTATCCCTGAGTTTGCATAATTATGATATAAATTATGAAATAATTTTTAACATTTTTTTCATTATGGGGAGGGGATCATAATGAAAGTCATTTTGGAACCGGTTGGAACCACTCTATTGATTCAGGAGTATCTCATTCATATTTACAATTTTTGTTTATTTTAATTTACAAAGTTTGGATGTGACAGCTTCATATTTCTGAGAGCAACGGCGATTGAATTTGTTTCCATGGCTAACTAAGTGAAATTGTTTAAAAACGATAAAAATTGGCTATAACTCAGTAATTCTTCGAAAAAAAAAATTATAGCTTATATCGCTAAAAAGCTTAAAAAATGGCGCTTTTTATGAAGTTATAGTCAACTATGGTTTCTATTTAAAAAAAAAACATATATGTTTGTATCATATGTCAAAAATTACAGGCTTTAGAAAAAAGCGGGGGACACAATCTCATTAAGGATGTGATTATCTCCAACTTTTATATGTGAAAACTTTTTGTCTAAAATAGATTATAATGGAATTGGGACAATTTTTAAAATAGCCGAAATTTGTTTTTTTCGAAATATCTAGTAAGCCATGAACTTTTTTAAAAATCTGAAAGGCGCATATTTATAACCCCACAAAACTGCAATTCTTTCCCCATTTAACCGACTCTCTATCTCTAGTAGTTTCCGAGATACCCATAGAAAACATCGTAGAAAACTCACCCAGTACATATATTAGTTTCTACTTTTCTGAATTTAGTCTTTGATATATTTTGTAGTGTAGAAGTCATTACATCATCTGGTTATGACAGAGAATCTATTATAAAAGGTCTGTCAGGCGCAAATGTTGATGCTCTGTTCTGGGCTGGAGGTGTCAAGTTAGATAAAGAAATTTTAGATACAGCAGGTTAGAAGTACTTTTATTTTACATTAATATTACATAAATATCAAATATTGGCTTAATTATTTTAATTAAATTTGCTTCTTTTTTTTCCAACGTTGGACATATCGTGTAGTACCGACTTAGTAAGCGGCTTAAGTCGGTACTAATGCCGATTAAAAATTGTCTCTTGATATTTTGTCGATTTTGGCCGACATGATTAAATAAACGCTTTTTCCTCTTCCTTCTTCTTCTTCCTTCTTCATACTAGGCGAATCGCCTGTTTGGTTTCGTCGTCTCTACCGGTTAGACTAACAAGTTGTCGCTCCATCGTTTTTGTGGACGACCTAAGCTTCTGCGACCTAGCGGTGATTTGTCGTGTGCAACTCTCACTATCCTTCTGTTGTCCATTCTGCTGATATGCTCGTTCCATTCTTCCTTTCTGCTGAGTACCCGATCATTTACATTTTCGACCTTGCATGCTCTTCTTATGCTTTCATTTCTCTCCCTGTCCAGAAGCGTCTTTTCAGCTCTTAGTACTCTCATTTCGGTTGTCCCTAATAGTTGTTTAGTTTTCACTGTATCAGGTCGAATTTCTGCAGTGTATGTCATTATTGGTCGTACCGTTGCCTTGAAAATTCTCTCTTTAGTTTCCACTTTAGTTGCTCTTCTGGTTGCCTTCGTTGTCCGTTCTCGCACTCCGCCTCTACATCACCATATCCTGGGATTTCTATGCCTAGATACTTTATTTCTTGCTGGGTAATATTGCCCTCGACTTCCAGTTTGCATCTTATTGGTACTTTTGATGTCGTGATGCATTTAGTTTTTTGGGTTGATATTATCATATTAAGTGATTTGGCAGTGCAGTTAAATCGATGTAATAAACGCTGTAGATCGTCCTCATATTCGGCTACCAATACGGCGTCGTCGGCATAGCACAGAATAGTAATTTCCTGGTCGCCCATACTGTCTCCCTTCAGTAAACGTACATTTCCTATTATTTCGTCAATAATGATGTTGAAAAGAAGAGGACTCCCTGGTCACCTTGTCGGATACCATGGCCTACATTTATTGGTTCAGTCAGGACCCCGTTAATTTTGGCTTGAATTTGGTTCGCTTCATATATTATGTTTTCTATGGTTTTAACGAGGTTGTTTGGGATTTGCCTATTGTAAAGAAGTTGTACAACGTCTCTCAGCCGCACACGGTCGAATGCTTTTTCTAAATCAATAAAACACATATACGCTGGTTTGTTATATTCGATTGATTTTTCTGTTGACAAAAACCGCGTCTGTGCATGATCTGCCCGATCTGAAACCTTGTTGTTCATCTGCTAAGCATGTTAAGTCGTTAATTTTGGTTGTTATCACTTTTGTTTAAGTTTTAGTGCGGTGCTTAGAAGATTTATGCCTGTATAGTTTGAGGGCAGTTTCTTATCTCCTCTTTTAAACATCAAAATAGTGGTGCTGGTTCGCCATTCAACGGATATCCTGTGTTGGTAAAGAATTTTTTGAATCAAGGATGTTAGCTGCTGTATGTGGCAATGGCCGCCATATTTAAGTAATTCGTTTGGGATGTCATCTTGCCCTGAGCTCTTCCTATTCTTTAGATTTCGAAGGGATATAATTATATCGGCTGCCTCAATCTGTACGTTGTAGTTCGTCATTATTTCGGGTGTATTTAGTTCGACCTCGATTTCTTTAGATTTGTATAGTTCTGAAAAATAATCAACCCTGGATTCCCTAGCTATGTGATTTGTTTCAACTAACTCGTTAATCTCTTTCCTTTGAGGTCCTATAAAGCGCCAAAATAAATAAACACAATTTTATTAATTTGCCTTGTTCGAGGTCTAACAGCAAACTTCATTTACACCCTGAATCATCATCAAAAAAATATAAAAAAAGTTCCTATAAGCTTGTGTATAGAAATGCAGAGTTATAGTACAGGATGTTAAAAGTCTTTAGAATTAGGTGTGTTTTGTAATTATCTTAAATTCTATTATTTTTTATTTGAATTTGCTGTACGTTGGACTAATACTAATAATGAATAGTAATAATATTTAATAATAAATTAGATAATCATTTATTAGTTTTATTTTTATTAATTGTGATTAATAAAATTGCGTTTATCTCATTTTTTTTAGACTTCGATTTCAGTTTTTACATATTTACCCAACTTTGTATCTCTTCTAGCTTACAAGATCACTGTAGTGTGCATTCTTATATGGAACACCTTGTATAATAATAAATTAAATTCTTGTAAAAAGATAAAATTTTACAGATTAAATAAACCTTACTGGTATATTTTTGAAACACTGAGTGCCTCTAAAACAGATTTTCTTTTAGGTCCCCAAGTAAAAGTTGTAGGTACAATGTCAGCTGGATACAATCATATAGATACAGCCCTATTAAAAGCAAAAGGAATTGTATTAGGAAATACACCACGGGTCTTAGATGATGCAGTAGCTGATGTAGCGCTCCTTTTAGCTATGTCAGCTTCTAGGAGATATACGGAAGGTCGAAGGCACATCGAAGAGTAAGTTTTTATAGATAAGAGTACACATTAAGCGAAACATACCTAATCTATAAATTAAATAGAAAATAATTGCAACATAATATCAATAAGTGTTGTTTACATTTTCTCTTAAAGTTTGTTTATTGATTTTCATGTCACTGTAATACGCAAAAACTAATGTTATTTAAGTATATGTTTACGTAGTAATTATACACTAGTCATCAAAAACATTTTTTCTTTCTCGAGTCCTGGCACTATTCCTGCTGATTCTTTAAAATGAAGTCCTGAATCCAAATATAACTCCCGTTTTCTTCTACCAACCACTATTTTCAGGGGAGCCTCTCTCTCTATTTTTATCATATTTTTATCACTTCTTGATAATAATGATAATTTTATGGACAAAGTTTAATTTGTAGAGACGAAAAGAATTTTTTTTAACTATATACAATAATAAATAAAAAGATTTCTACCTTTATCTGGTGCTTGCCAGTTATACCTTGAGGTACAACTCTCGGGTCCCAAAAACTAGCAATACTTTGCCCATATGCTTGCATTCCACTTCCCTGAAAATCACTTCTTCATCTCTCATATAATTTGATTATTCCATCGTTTTTTGTATCATTTTTACCAGAAAATCTCCCACTAAGCTGTTTCGCATTTATTTTGAAACATTTTATATATCAGACATAGGTACATGTATATGCTTCTTTAAGAGTCTATTACGCTGTACTGTTCGGGTCGCTCTCAGGGGTCGGGTAAAGCGGGTGTGTGGCCGAAGGAAATATATATTATATTGCAGAAATCTGCCTAAGGCTTAGCCCGATCCTGTCGTGTTAAGCTACATCCAAAATTCCAAACACACATGCTTTGATTAAGGTTTGCAGAGCTTCAGCATTTGCCATAAAATAGTGAGCAATTTGTTACAAAGCCATATACATTATATATCACTGTAATCACAAAACTACAATCTATTTCCGTATTGTAACGGAACGTTGGAATTTTAAATTATATCCAAAAAATTCTTATGGGTTTTTCGCCACTGCACTGCAAGAAAAATCTACAAAATCTTGTTTAAATTATGTCTTTATTTTCGAGAAAATTTAGTCCAAACATAAGGAATATTTTGTTGATGTTTGACCATCAAAATCTTAAAAAGTTCTCTAAAAATGTGCTACAATACGGATGTTATCTTTAATTTCCTTCTTTATTGGTGTAAAAATAAACTCTTAAGGAATCTATTTATTGTGTTATTTTATTGATTTATAATAATAATAGCTCCCGTATGCGTATTTCCATAATATACCATGTAGAGAACATAAGGTCTCTAAGCCCCGCCCACAAGCTTAGTTCAGCAGTAAAGATGTCTCTAACACGGTATAGAACGGAATGGGAAATGCGCCAAAATCGGGTATAGTTCGTAGTCGCATTACTCGCGTTATTTTTGATAGCATGAACAGTAATATTCATTTGTGTAAAATAATACCGTATGGTAAAAAACGACGTCAGCGATGGCTATGAAATGCAGATCGCTGCCATTTTATATATAAATTTATTGGAAAATGTCATCAATCTTTATTTCCCAGCCAACTGGACGCCGTTTTTTTCAATCATTTATATTAAAAACATGACAAAATATAAAACAAAGAAAATATCAACAAAAATAACATTTAATTATTAAATAATGTATATATTATTAACTTCTTTAAAATATCAGCCACTTAAAAAATAATAAAAATAAGCATTGTTATTTCCTGTTAGATTGTATTGTTTAGTTTAAAGTATTAAATATTAATGTCTTTTGGCATTTAGTGTATTTTTGGTAATATTTTTGCTCAAGCACTATTTTTTTAGTCTGTTCTCTTCTGATAGCCTTACTGATCGAGAGCCTTTTTTTCGAGTGCAAACAGCAAGTTCTTCTGGATAAAGCTCTTGGTTGTACTTTAGTATACTACTTGCTTTTTTTACAGGTTATTGTAGTATTTTTGAGAAATGCTTTTAACTGCTGCACTGTGTCAATATGATGTGACATTATTAAACCGTGTTAATATTTCTAGCATCTGATTACTTTTCTATTTTTGTGTTAAACCTAGTACTTAGTACTTTTTTCTATATTTGTTTTCAATAAAGCATGTTGGTCTACAAAACTTCTTAAATTCTTCCAGCCCGACAAATATTATTTACTTACAGCACTGTTTTTTGGTGAATAGCTGTTGTCTCTTATGAAGTCGAATTGCTATTTATATCGACAATTTTACTTCAGATTTTATATTTGTTAACATAATCTCTGACGTACATTGCTCAGCCATCCTGATACTTGTTTACAATTCCCAACGGTCGCAAACTGTCTAATTCAATGCAAAATAGAAGAAGTGACTAAGAATGTGACATATATCACGTTGTAACGCTGAGAAGGCGACTCCATACTATACCACATTTGGCGCGTTATCCTATTCCATTCTATACCGCGTTAAAGACATCTTCAATGCTAAACTAAGCTTGGAGGCGGAGCTTAGAGACCCTATGCTCTCTACTATGGTATATTATGGAAATACGCCTCCCGTATATAGCTTTTAACGCCTTGAGAGTAGCAAGGTACAGCTTGCCATACTAGAGCCGTTCGGTATACAAGGAAGGTAATGTGGCTAGCACTACGCTTCAACCGCCTATTATTACCTCAGGATTGTGAATCCCAAGTACTCATTTAAGGCTGAGTCGACCTAGGTACCCAAACTATTTTTATTTTTATAAAAATAGTCGGCTGATGAAATGCCGGGTGTGGGAATCGAACCCACTACCTTCAGATTGGTAGACGAGAGCCTGTATATCTACGCCACCGGGCACCTTTTAATGATCACACACTGTGTCAATTTTAGAACTTCCCACCCTTAATATCTTTCTTGCAGTTAAAAATATGAAAAATCGGAAAACACGTCAATTCTATTTGTAACGGGGACACTTTAAATGAATACTTTTAGCATTTTTCTTTCAACCCCCTAGGAGGGGTAGATGTCACCCTTACAATCTTAAATGGGAATGTGGGTCAAGTGGCACATCGTTTTAAAGAGCGTTTAATTATCTTTTTGGTGGTATCCTACTTTGCTGTTTTTTTTTCCAGAGATTTCCGAATAATCGTGTTTCAAAGTTGCAGAAACAATTAAATATGTCTGCATTGAGATTTTGGTTTTCAGGCTAGTGTTTACACAAAAATTATTGTAATGGGTCTCCTTGTAGTACAAATGATTAGAAGATTAGGTGGTAACATGGACGTAGCCATTACATTTTTCCAGGGGGGTCAAAATACTAATAAACAGAAAACATCATAACTATTAACGTTTCTTTTCTCAGATTATTTATTATTTTTTTCAAACCCTCACCCCCATTTTTCGACATACACAATATCCCCAAAAAGTTAATGTTTGGGCTGGTGTTTTAGGAAATGCTTGAATGAATTGGTCCTTTATTTATTGAAGGAAACTTATTGACAGGGGATCTGCATCTTAATATGCTTCAAAAGACTAATGATCCTTTTATCACCCAAGAGCTGGAAACTCAAATTGATGCAGAGGGTAATCCAGTTTTACAGGAGGATTTGTTAACATCCCAGTAGGACGGTGTTCCACCTCATTTTCTTCCAGTCCGACAGTGGTTAAACGAGAGATTTCCGGTTACATGGATTGGCAGAAGTGGACCAATTGAATGGCCTCCAAGATCACCGGATTTAACATCTTTAGACTTCTTTCTTTGGGGACATCTTAAATCAGATCTTTATACAACACAACCTACTGATATTAATGATCTTAAAAGGCGAATTACAGCAGAATGCCGGTCAATTCCCGGTGAAGTTTACCGAAATGTTAGGGAGGAGTTTTAAAACAGACTCTACTCGTATTATTGTTTACAAGAAAATGAACAACTTACAAGATAGGGCGTAAGTAGTGTAACCTAATATTCTAATCATTTGTACTACAAGGAGATACATTGCAATCATTTTTGTGTAAACACTAGCCTGAAAACCAAAATCTCAATGCAGACATATTTAATTGTTTCTGCAACTTTGAAACACGATTATTCGGAAATCTCTGGAAAAAAAAGCAGCAAAGTAGGATACCACCAAAAAGATAATTAAATGCCCTTTAAAACGATGTGCCCCTTGACCCACATTCCCATTTAAGATTGTAAGGGTGACATCTACCCCTCCTAGGGGGTTGAAAGAAAAAAGGCTAAAAATATTCATTTAAAATGTCCCCCTCACAAATAAAATTGACGTGATTTTCATAATTTTAACTGCGAGAGAGATATTAAGGGTGGAAATTTTAAAATTGACATAGTGTATACATTTAATGCAGAATTTCGTGACAAAAATAATGTATTTAGTACGTTCTCTATATTTACAGGGGAACGTGGATTAACTTTTTCAACACACAATGGATGTTAGGTCAAGATATTAGCGGATCTACTGTTGGCATTGTTGGATTAGGAAATATTGGACAGGCAATAGCGAAGAGATTAAAGGGATTTGGCGTGGCAAAGATTTTATATACTGGACATAGAGAAAAGCCAGAGGGTAAACAATTGACTGAAATATTTTTTTATGCTCTACTTTACCCAATATTTATCTTTTAGGAAAAGAACTAGGAGCTCAGTTTGTTAATCAAGACACGTTAAATAGAGAGAGCGACTTTATCTTTTTGGCTGCACCACTTACTAACGAAACTAATCAAATGTGCAATGCAGATTTTTTTTCGAAAATGAAGAAAACTGGAATTATAGTAAATATTAGTAGGGGACAATTGGTAAGTGTTATTAAACGTAATAGCTAGGTATTTGTATAGTATTTAGGTAAAATAAAACACTAAATCACCACAATACATCAAAACATTTTTTCTTTTAAACTGGACGCGCGTTTCGCTTACCATTTTAGCACCATCAGCAGATGATTATAAACTAAAAGGAATTTTTAAGAATGTCAATTATAAACTTGTGTATAGTGCTAATAATAAATTACAACAATTATTAGGTAATCCAAAGGACAAAACACCTCTACTGGAAAGGTCGGGTATTTATGAAATTTCTTGTAAAGATTGTAATCAGAAATATGTTGGGCAAACTTGAAGATCAATATTAAATTTAAAGAACATTTAACTCAGATAAGATATATAGTAGACCGGATAAATCTTGCGTTGCCGAACATATTGTTGATAAAGAACATTGTATAGATCTTAATAACTTGAAATTAATTAAACAAGTCTCAAATTACAGGCAATTAGATGCATATGAAAGCATTAGAATTAATAAATGTAAAGATAGTATGAACAGAGACAACGGTCCAATTCCTTCAAGTTCTTTGTTCCTACTACTCTAGTGGCGGAAATTTAACTGTTACGCTCAGTGGGTTCTGACTCGGTTGGCTAGATCTTGCCACGCCCACTCTGTGCCCACTGAGCGAGTATATAAACGCTCCAATTGTAGATTGTATTTTAGTTTATAATCATCTGCTGAAGATGCTAACATGGTTAGCGAAGCGTACGTCCAGTGTAAAAGTAAAAGTGTTTTGGTGTATTGTGGTGATTTAGTGTTTTATTTTGCTGTGTAACACCAAAGGTTCCAACCCTCAACTGTAATAGTATTTAGATGCTAGTAATGTATGATCGAAAAGAAACGGCTTCCAAATAAACATTGACCATACAATTTGAAATATATTATGACAGCGATCTGCATTTCATAGCCATCGCTGACGTCGTTTTTTAATATAACATATTCATAATGGTCTATACGGTTGACGAATTCTACCGGGGCTCCCTTGATATTAGTGTTTAGAGTCTAGAATTGCTTGTTAGTCTGACTTATTCTTTTTAGCGTTATTTTTAATTTTCTCTTTATTCTGTATATTGTATATGTTATTTTACTTACTTGTTTGCACCTATTTTTCTGAATACTGCTTGTTTGTTTAAATGGATGTATTTCTATCTTATATTTACACAATTTTTTTTAATTTAGGTTTAGATTTAGGAATATTTATACTTTGTTAACAAAAATTTTTATATTTTTTAAACAATAAAGTACTATTGAAATTGAAATATAATCATAAGCATATCTAGTTCGGACTCATTAACTGCTTTTAAAAATTTAATCGTAATTTTATTATACATAGTGTTTGGAGAAAATTGCAAAATATGGATTTTCTTTTAAAAGTTTCTAAGAAATTTTTATTCGTCTTAATAGTATCTCATCTCAGATCAAACTTAGTATAAAGTAGCTTAATATTTTTTTAGTTGCAGGGTGTAAAAAATATTATAGTAAGTAACAGTGTACCAAACAATGTACAGGGTGAGCTCGAGGGTGAGTCAAATTGGACGCTTCTAAACGCCCTTTCCCTAAACAACACCCTCTATAGGAGATAGACGAAAACTAATATCAGTGTCTGGAGCTCATTTTTTATCAAAAACATGATGGTGAAAACCGTCCACGTCGATATCTGTTACTGTTTATGAATTACGGGATGTTTTTCAAAAATGTGCATTTTTAACAAATCGCTGTAACTTTTTTGCTATGGAAAATTTTGTATTTTTATGAAAACATTTTCAAAGCATCTTTTTACGTAGAATTTAATGGTTTAAGTATATTTTTTTTAAAATTAATAATTTAAGAATTATCAACAGAAAATTTAATTTTTTATATGGGACACCCTGTATATTTTCAATTCATTGAAAATAATTTAAAATTACCTTTCCAAAAATATAGCATACTTGATATTTTGCTTAATATTTCTCTAGAGATATAGAGTTTTTAAAAATTTACCTACTTTGAAGAAGTAGTTGGCTTTGAACCGCGCGGGTGTAATGCAAAAAAATCTAGTTGTGACGAGCAACTAAAACGCAAATAATATTTGCAATGAGAGATGCAGAATTTTATACCAATTTAAACTATATTTAAAATCACCAACACTTTTAAACTATGTCTAATAACAATAAAAATAAATAGCAAACCAAGACATGAAATGTGTTCGACAGTCGACCGCCTTCTTTATGGACCGTTTTTTAAACATTTCTCGCGAAATTCATTAACTCAGTGGGGATGAAATATACCATTGCATAACCGCTATGTACAATTCTTGTCTATCTAGAGCTTTTTTGTCCGTATTTACAGGCAATTTAAAAATAAGAACCTTTATTTTTCCGTAAAGATAAAAATCCATAGGCGTTAAGTATGGCGGCCCCGGCGGCAATTGGCTACAAATATTTGTTAATAACTTTAGCGTCCTGAAGCGGTTCTTGCTGGAAAAATATGTTTTTGAGTTCCATTAGGGGCAGACCATCAATAAGGGGTCGAAAGCCCAAACCAGTGGCTAACTTTCTAAATTCTGTATTTCGAAGGGGACTATAACAAAATATCAAGTGTGCTATATTTTTGCAAAGGGCTTGTTTAAGTTCTCTTCAGTTAAGTTCAAAAGTTTTAAGTTCTCTTCAGTTAAATAAAAATATACAGGATGTCCCTAATAAAAAATCAAATTTTCTGTTGATAACTTTTAAATTAGTAATTTTAAAAAAATTATACTTAAACCATTAAATTCTACGTAAAAAGGTGCTTTGGAAATGTTTTCACAGAAATACAAAATTTTCCATAGCAAAAGTTACAGCGATTTGTTAAAAATGCACATTTTTGAAAATCACTCCGTAATTCCGAAACGGTAACAGATATCGATGTGCGGTTTTTACCATCACGTTTTTGATAAAACCTCCAGACACCGATATTAGTTTTCGTCTGTCTCCTCTATAAAAGAGGGTGTTTCTCTTTAAAAGCGTCCAATTTGACCCGCCCTGTACAGTGAGTGGTACTAATAAATTAAAATAAAAGAAAAAGTTCTCTTATATAGTAATATACCGTGCCATGCTTTATAACAAGATATATTGTAAATTTTTAGAGCATATCTGGCATGTAACTATGTTGTTTATTTTTTTTTCTATTATATACTGCTGTCAAATTCCTACTAGCTCCCTATCAAAAATTGTTTTACATCCTCATTTTCATGTTTCTTAATTTTAATAATTAATTTTTAGATTGATCAAGCTGCTTTGATCAAAGCTTTAAAAGATGGTGAAATATTTGCAGCCGGTCTTGATGTTATGGACCCAGAACCTCTAAATAGGGATAGTGAATTATTGAAATTATCTAATGTTGGTGAGTATTATATATTACAGATTTGACAATTGTTAACCCTGAACTGCCGTGGTGGGGTCTAGCGGACCCCAAGCACTATTTAAACCTCTGTAAAATGTTTATGTTTAAGAATTAGGTCTCGCCGCGCCATTTACCTTTAAGTTAGGGTACCAATATGCAACTGTTAAAGGCGCACTTGATTTTATCAAGTATTGTTCCTACCAGCAGAAGCTAAAGTTTCATTGGGGTCTGTGTGGCACCACCACGCCAAGAATGTTTCATTATTAGGAGGGTGGGTAGTCTAAAAAGTGTGCCTCACTGGGACGCTAATTTTGAGGAAGCATTAATTGAGTGGTTTGATGAACTTAAAGAGGCTTGAGTGAGATGAAGATCATCGAGACATTGATTTTTCTCCGTAAGAATAACTCCGATTCTGAATCTCTTACTTATAGATGAGAGAATAATCAATACCTGAAAAGAAAGAGATATTGGATATGTCAACCATATGTCAACGAAGAAATGACAAAAAACAAAAATCTCATGAATCAAATGTGCACGATCCACGGCAAATGCAGATCCTATATTAGCATGTACTGTATTTGAAAAATTTATGTAGGTACCTACATTCCAGGTTTGCAGTTTTGTTGAAAATAACTTATCTTTATTACTTTAGCTTCACATTTCAGTTGTTTGTACTTTTAGTAATACGGTAAAATCATAAAATATATATGTTTTTAATTTCTATGGGTTCTTAGCCAAGTTATATTTCTGTTGTCAAAAATTCCTAAAAAATGCGTTTTACTTTATTTTTGTGTCCGTTCTTATTCATTTGTTGAAAATTAATGAAATTGTTTGTTCGCAAGTTTGAATATATGGTAAACAGTGTTAAAATAACAAGCTTTTTATAGAATCTCTTCATCATGTACTTTTTAACTGAAAAAAAAATGGGGTCCCCAGCACGCCCTAACCGGTACGGAAATTCATCACGCCAGCGCTCGTTGAGGGCTAACAAGTACATTAACACAAATTTAACTATATAATTATGCCCAATATTTCACGTAGTCAAAGAACTTCCATGACCCAATCTCATCCTTGTTGATGACAATACTAAGAATTACTGGTTGCATAACCAGATTAGCAGTTAGTAATCTGTGGATGTAAGAAGAACATTAATAAAAAGAAGAACGCGAGAAGTCGTGGTCTGAACACAGTCTGAAGAACTTATTGTTTATTGTTAAACCAATTAGAAGCTATAAATAAATACGTTTTCTTTCGATTCACTGAGTTTGACTGTGCCATTCAACAATCCTGTCATCTTGAAGATTTTTCTAAAAACGTTAGATATTTCATTTATTGCTGCATATTCAAAAACTAATTTTTAGAACGTTTATATTTTAATTCCATAAAACAAACCATCCACTCCCAAGAAATATTAAACAATATTTTATTCTATATATAGAGTATTAAATTTAGTTTCCTCGATACATGCCAGATCATATTTTCTTGATTGATGCCTACTTAAATGAGACAAACTCATTTGAGGACTTCAGCTCTTCGGCTTAGTTGAATCCCTTTGGCATCTTGCATTGGAAGACGCACTAATCTAAGTCAACCTAATTTTGTAAAGCAATTTTGCTGGTGGTGTCTATGACCTTACTCGTCATAGCTCCTATAAATATATTCATGCCGTGTTTATCTATAGCCCATTTAAATTGAATTTTCAGACCTTAGGAAAATATTCTAGAGGTCCATCTGTGAAGATATTGATTAATTTTTCAGACATAGTTTTATTTCCATAAGTGTAAATATCGTAGAACTTGTCAAAGACTCATAGTCAAAAACTTGTAGCCCTCCAACTACCACTTTACACCAGAGTCCGATCCCGCATTGCTTTAGTGCAAAGAATGGGTACATTTACTTCAAATATATGTTTTACTGCCCATTGTCTTTCTTCTCTCTTTTCAGTTTATTATACTTTGGACTGTCCAACATATTAACTTCCATTGTTTTTCCCCTTGAACTAAGTATACCGTACTGAATTGCCCTCTAGAGACATGCCATCGTTCATATGTAATCAGTGTATGCTGAACATTCACTTTACCACAGTAGTTGTTTGATGCACTACACCATACGACGGTCAATTAAATATTTTCTAAAACACCTGGCACCTCCAGACAATGCTTTATGCATGAAGTAATCCACTTCTTCTTATTGTATGTTCTAACATAGTTGTATGTCGTGTAGGTGAATATCCATCTATATCCATCTACCATATATTCCGTTATTTCATTTCACTCGTCACTGCTGGAGAAGGTTTGTCATCGTTAGATCTATTTCTCATCATCTGTTGATTATACTAATAGACATAGATAATGAATATGCATATAGAACAAAGAAGTATTTTGTTTAATTGCGTTTAAATGGCATGTTCATATATTTTAACACTATAATTTGTAACTTTGTTTGCAGGTGGTAGATTTGCATTAGTTCCAGAATAATAATAGAATTGCATTCTTTTCAGTGTTGACGCCCCATATTGGTAGTGCCACAAACAACACCCGAAACGCAATGGCAGAACTGACTGCTAAGAATATTTTGCGTGGATTAGGCGGAGAAGAAATGTTCACTCCTGTCAAACTCTAATGAATTACTTTTTATCTAATGAATGTGAATGTTACATAATATTTTTTCTTCTTGTTCATAATATCTTTGTTATTATTAAAATAAATAATCTCTTAATTTTGTATTGTTTTTTTTTGCAAAACAGTATTTCTCTGGGTAATTTATTCTAAATTAAGTCAATTTGTACTAAATACGGAAGTTGATCTTATTGTTTCGAAATATATATTGTCTGCCAGATTATGAACTGCTTAGATCTTATTATTTCTTTGTTTATATTTATATATTACAACTTCAACGATTATTTAATTTTTTGAATAAATTCGGTATTTAATTTTTTGAATAAACATATCATTTTATCAACTTTATAAAATTTGTTCAACCTACAAAACCATTCCAAGTTAATTTTGGTATTAGTTTTTACAACTTGCCCCCTCAAAGCGCCAAAACCCGATAGAGAAAAAGATTAAAGTATTTTCTAGTAAACCAAAATGAACATGCTTACAGTCATAAAAACTATAAAAAATGATCTGACCATCAAAATCATAAGAAAAATCGTACCAAAATAAATAAAAATAAGTATTTCCATTTGGTATTTATGCCATTTGAAATAACACTATTTGCAGAAATATGAATCTTAACCGACATCTGTTAATTGTGTGGAGAGATGTAGTGATATGTTGATTAACAAGCTCTTCAACAATACAAGAGATTCAAGACTAAAGAAAATTTACTGAAAGATAAAAGATTACTTGTTTTTGCTAGGAAAAAGTTCAAACAAAGCGTTCGTCAATTTACGGAAGGTGTTAATATAAAGGACTCAATTCAGCATGTTTGGAGGGTGGTAGACATATTAGCTAATAAGCATATAAAGCCCCTTAAAGGGTCGGCTACACGTACAAGCTTTACCACGAGCTTACCTGCGCAAACCTGTTTGTATCGGGAACTCGCTGTGTGTAGACGGTAAAACGGTAGCACGCACAAACCAACAAGCGCGGCCTGCGTAAACGTCGCGCTGCTAAAGATTTTAGTTTGCGCAAACCAGTTTGTGCGGTGATATCATATGTGTAGACAGTATCAGCGAGTTCAAGGTACATTTTTGTGACTTTTGTGGGTTTTGTGTTATTAGTTATCAACTCTTAGAAAATGTCTGATATTCGTACTTATTCCAATAAGGAGTTTATGACGAGTTTTATTGAAATATATTGATCGTTGCCATGTCTATGGAAGATAAAATTGAAAGATTATTCTGATAGAAACAGAAAAAATGATGCGTACAAGAACATGGTTTTCTATTTAAGTCACTTTTTACACCACTTCGATCTACACCGTTTATTTTGCTGTTTTTTCTTTAACAATAAGCAATAAAAAACAATAATTCGTCACTTGACATTTGTAACGGAACGGAACCACAAATTCAGAATAAAAATAATTGTGAATGTACGCTCTTACTTGCATCGTGTGGACACCGCACAGTGTTCCTTCTAGTTTGCGCAAACTATACCGTGCAGGCAAGTCGCTGTCGTGTAGCCGCCGCTTAAAGATTTTAGTTTGCGCAAACCAGTTTGTGCGGTGATATCATATGTGTAGACAGTATCAGCGAGTTCAAGGTACAGTTTTGTGGGTTTTGCGTTATTAGTTATCAACTCATAGAAAATGTCTGATATTCGTACTTATTCCAATAAGGAGTTTATGACGAGTTTTATTGAAATATATTGATCGTTGCCATGTCTATGGAAGATAAAATTGAAAGATTATTTCGATAGAAACAGAAAAAATGATGCGTACAAGAAAATGGTTTTCTATTTAAGTCAGTTTTTACTCCGCTTCGATCTATACCGTATATTTTGCTGTTTTTTCTTTTACAGTAAAAAACAATAATTCGTCACTTGATATTTCCACGAAGGGAACCACAAATTCAGAATAAAAATAATGATGAATGTACGCTCTTACTTGCATCGTGTGGACACCGCACAGTGTTCCTTCTAGTTTGCGCAAACTATACCGTGCAGGCAAGTCGCCGCCGCTTAAATGATAATAGCCTGGTATTTTTCCGTTGAAAGAGTCATATGTAATAAAACCGCGAATATTTGCAAAACCGCTAAAATTTAGAAAATATTTTAAATATAAATAATGTTTTTAATTTTATTCCATTAAAAAACATTTCTTCTTCTTCAAGTGTCATGTTTCTTGAACGTTGACGACTGCCATGTTAACAATACCTCTGTATCGCTCTCGATCTTAAGTAAGTTTGCGAATGGCAATTAGCGATACGTTAGACTGCCGGAGTGCTGACGTCACGAATGTCAAATTGCTTTCCAAACAAGCTTTAGTTCTTTTATATTTCTATTGAGTTCTTCCAAATGACGTCACAAGTTAATATAAAATGTAAAAAACAGGTGATTGCTGACCACCGCCGAGTTTTGTGTCTGGTATTTTCAATACGCCTATGATAGTTGCGCATGTTGCAAAATCTGTGAATTTTTTATTTAAAAATACGCAATACGCTAAAACAACATTAAAAATATTCCCTACGCCGACGATACGATATTAATTGCTGATAATATAGATGATCTACAACAACTGGTTAACAAGGTACAGCAAGAACAGAGTAACAAAAACATAAAAAAATAATATGGTAATATCCAGAAACCCAGATATGTTTAATAATTCCATCATAGCATTTAACAGAAGGCCCATAGAAAGAATAGATTAATTAAAGTATTTGGCAATCTAGCTGTTCCAGATTGGACATCAGACAAGAAGACTAAATGTCGTAACGAACAAGCTCGACAGGCATTCTTGAGGTTTCAAACAGTTGCCTGTTCGACAAGATTTTGACCTAAATCTTAGATTAAGATTTATAAGTACTACGTTTGATCGGTGCTTCTTTGTGGTATGGAAGGTTGGACATTGAAAGCAACAGCCATTAACAAACTAAAGGCTTTCGAGATATGGCTGTATCACAGAATCCTTAAGGTACCCTAGACTGATAGGCTAACAAATGAAGAAACTTTCACAGGACACTTACACAGGGATCTCCTCAACGAACACCTCAGTAGGCCGAAGCTGAGAAACAACGGCGAATGCAGATTCTGAGGAGAAAAATGGGGAAACACCAGAACACCTTATTACTTACTAAGTGCGCTGAGACGACGACCATTCGTGCCATGAACTTTGGTACGGCTGATATCGAGGATGAAGAGCTGGCCTGTGGGGGCCGTCTCAAATGCTGGCTTCTGTTAAAGCCCTGAGACTGTATGATAAGTTATAACTCGTTATAACTCAAGAAAGGGGAACACACAATAGATCTGTAAGGTCGCGGTGATTAACTCCCCTCCCAAACATTCTACATTAAGACGTGTTAACAAACAACGTGAAATAGTCAATAATATAAGATATGCCGACGAGATACCGTATTAATAGCAGAAATCCGCGTAGATCTACAAGAATTAGTAAACAGAGTCAATGAAGCTTGTAAGAATTGTGGCCTATCTATTAATATAAATAAAACTAAATGATGTGTGTAAAGTAGATGTCGGCGAGACCTCTTTATTGTTGAATGAGGAAACGTTGGAGAGAGTGGAGAAGTTCAAATACCTAGGCTGTTGGATTAACTATCATATCGATCCTTCATACGAAATCAGATGTCGCGTAGAACAAGCAATAAATACATTTCAGAAGTTTAAGTCGCTGCTCTCAAATAGTTCACTAAACATCAAAATACGGGAGAAATTTACAAAGTGTTATGTGTGGTCGATTTTATTGTATGGATGTGAGACGTGGACACAGAAGAATACTTAAGATATATTGGACCACCAGAATCAGAAATGAAAAAGTTCTTAGAAGAATGGAACATGACAGACTACTTCTGAATATTATCAAGCGACGAAAACTTGAATACCTTGAAAAATCGAAGGAAAGAAGTTGATTGGGCGCAAGAGGATTTCGTGGTTGAGGAACTTTTGGCAATGCACAGGCTTGAGCGCGGATGAATTACCTCGTGTAGCGCAAGATCGAGAGCGATACAGAGGTATTGTTAACATGGCAGTCGTCAACGTTCAAGAAACATGACACTTGAAGAAGAAGAAATGTTTTTTAATGGAATAAAATTAAAAACATTATTTATATTTAAAATATTTTCTAAATTTTAGCGGTTTTGCAAATATTCGCGGTTTTATTACATATGACTCTTTCAACGGAAAAATACCAGGCTATTATCATTTAAGCGGCGGCGACTTGCCTGCACGGTATAGTTTGCGCAAACTAGAAGGAACACTGTGCGGTGTCCACACGATGCAAGTAAGAGCGTACATTCATCATTATTTTTATTCTGAATTTGTGGTTCCCTTCGTGGAAATATCAAGTGACGAATTATTGTTTTTTACTGTAAAAGAAAAAACAGCAAAATATACGGTATAGATCGAAGCGGAGTAAAAACTAACTTAAATAGAAAATTGACGGTTTTAAAAACCAAAATACCAAAAATAGGTATTGACGGTTTTTTGTTATGATGAAAATGTTGTGTGATATGAAAAAGCAACAAAATATATTATCGATTGCAGCAACTATACCTAGTTTACATTCAGTATGTCCAATTAATATAGAACATTATAGCTATACTCTGTTTTAGGTAAGTTAAGGTAAGATTTCGACAGACGATGACAGAAGAAAAGCAGATGAAGTCCCATACCAATCTATTTATTTTACTAAAAAAGTTTCTAATAATTTTTAAGTTAATTATGGATGGGTTTAAATATAAATTCGTCATGCGTCGTCACTTGTTGTTTTTAACCAGTTTTATTGGTTTATTTCAAAAATGACAGATCGTAATTCAATTTTATTGGTTTGACGGAACGATGAACGACAAACGGACGCCGATGCGTATGAACTCGCCTTTAGATTTTTGACGTTTGTCAAAGTCTTGCCAAATTATAGGTTATAATTTTGTGACAACTTCTGTCAAATACCCTGCGTTTTGGAAGATGATGCATTTTGATTCGTGTTATTACGTGTGTTTTGTGTCTTTTAAAGTCAAGTGGAGGAAAAATCGAGTGAAAATTAACTGTAGAACCTAAAGCACAGTTTATGGTTAATACTCGCTGCCCGGGAGGAAAGTCTTATACAGGTACACCAATAAAGTTACTATCAATAAAGTTCGTATACCATCTCGTCGTAGATAAGTGCATCTCGAATATGATAGAAGGACCATACTAAACACATACTAAAAACTGGAGTAGCTGTAAAATATTGACATCACACGATAGGTAAATAATGGATTTTAGTACTGCAGAAAAATAATGTCAAAAGGTACTGGTTTAAGAAAATTAAGATTAAAGTTAATTAATCAACCTGTGAGGTATAAAATTTGGTAAGTGTTATTATTAATAAAATAGTTTGTTTTATTTATGTTTGTTTATGTTGTTTTATTTATTCCTGCGGGATATTACAAATTTGTATTTGTACATAAGTTATATTGATAAATATAATCATAAATGCGGGAAGTTTCATAAAGCTTGAAAGTAAGAAATAGTTCTTTTTTATATTTTTTGGTATGTGGTGTCTTGTTTTTGTTTGTTTTGTATTAACACATATCGTTTTTTATTAAATAAAATAACTCGATTACATTTTTTCAGTTTTATACAGTTTTTTTTCACAACATTTTGAAGTTACTTGTCAGTCAAATTTTAAATACATTTAATTTCCTGCTATGCGTTCCAGTTGTACCAACTTATTGCTTTGTAAAATAAAATAAACTACTTCGAAATTAAAATGACAGACACATCTATCACTGTCAAGGATCTTCTCGTTGAACAGACTATATGCATGATTTTAAAAATTTGCTACCATTATATTTTGATAGTTGAGTTTTTGAAATTATTCGTTAGCTTCTTAAACAAAACAGACCCATAATAATTCAAATCTTTATCATCCAAGACTTCCAAGAATTATAAAGTAATCTCACGTCAAAATTTTTTAAAATTATTGCATGCCTTAAATGTTTGCAAAGTTAACAAAAATATGTCTTTGATTACCTGCAATTAATATATTTGATCCAATTTATCAGTTCTGCATCATATCCGAAATTCAGATTGTGTGTGACACAAAGAAGAGTCAACGTGCAACGTGAACGACAAGAAAATGGCAAGTAAAAAAAATTGTAAAGTCTTAATTACTAATTACACAGTCGTTCTCTTGAGTTCTCCTGCCTAAAATCTATATTGCCTTCCCTAAGATTTTAAATATAAATGATTGAAACTCATACAAGTTTACCACAATTTAAACTTAAGATAATTATTAAATCCATAATTATACTAAAATATAACATTTACGAAGTTAAGTTAAATATTAACTATTTCTACTTAATCATTTAATAATTCTGATAAAAACACGCTTGATTATTTATTTTAGAAATCATACGGGCTATAATCATTAATATGACTATATTATTACTTTATTACAATAAAAAAAAAGAAGTATGTAATAATAACTCGGAATAATTATTAAAAACTGCCCATCTTGTTATAGATGTCGGCGTCGTGTCTCTATTATTTTATTAGCCGTTTAGCTATAGTTTGATTTCAGATAATGCAGATTTTAATATGCCATTTGTGAAATTTTGCCGTATTGTGAAATTTAATAAGTTAGCACTAATTAAATGATAATTATTATTTACAACAATATTTAAACGATAAAAACTTATCCCAATAAATATTTGGCACCGCCTTGAATTAATTTGTTTTACGTTGGCGGTGGAAACCATACAAGCTTTTTCTTTGTCCTAAGTTGTTAATTAAAAAAATAATTATCATATAAAAAAATATAGGTCCTAATAGCCTAAATTTTATCAAAATATATCAGCAGATCCGATGAGACCCGAATTATTATATGTTTTGGAACTTAATGATTTAATTAATTATTCCCTTTAATGCATCGATTGTGCGCATTATCCTACGCGCCAAGAAAAAATATTACATTAGCCTAAATTTATTATGTATGTTATTCCGCTCTTTCACGTATAATTTGCCCCCTGCTTCTCATACGGAAAGAGTTAGATTAAAATAGCCCAACTGTACTTAACAACCCATGCCTTGACGCATATTCTTTTTTGTAATAATATCGGCTTTCAGAGACTAAACATCCATATCCATAAAATAGTTGGCCCACACTAATAAGACATCATTTCGGCCCTCAGACGGCCTTGCTCTACTCAGCTATCGACTTACGTGTTGACAAGTTGATTAGGCAGGTTATTGAACTCCATGTCGCCTCTAGCATGTCGTTTTTTCAAAGATGGATCCCATATAAACGCGGCCAGAAGTATTTTCAATACTAAAATATTTCTTGCTATTTTTTCAAATCAGCCTGTGCTACGGCGTGATCTATGTGATACTTATTTGTTATCGACTTCAAATTATGTCTTTGACCCAAAAATCCGCGTTTATATATCGAATATTTAATCGTGTTACACATAGAATAAACAAAAAAAAATAAAATTCTTTTATAGGCACTGAAGATGTCGTATGATCGAAGAAAGTCATTTAGTTGACTTGGAAATGACGATTATTGACATTTATCATAATATTGTACATATGAAATAACAGCGACCTTCATTTCCAAGCCAACTCTGACGCCGTTCTTTGTTTAATCAAATAATATTACATTAAATTGTTTAATGATCGAAAATCCGTATTATTAACGTACTGTACCCAACATTCGTAAATCTTTCAATCTCAACAGCAATCTTACAATCTTCAAATTAATCAAAAGTTCTGCCAACACCAAATACGTTTAAATTACCTATACCGCGGCCTCCCCATAAGAGCAATGAGAGAATTTGTGTCCCAGTATTGAAGGAGGACAGAAAATCGAGTCGAATGGTTTCAAGACATAAGTTCATCGTTGTTTAGTCAAACCTCCTATCACACAAGGATAGACTTATGTAGGAAATGCATTGAAATTCTATAGCCATCCTTTAACATCTGGACAGGAATTTAAGCGGTACCCTCCGTATAGGTAATTTAAACGTATTTGGCTAACACTGTCTCCGGCAACTACTCACTTTGTCCACTGAAAGTAGAACTACGGTACAGTCTGTGGTACAGTATTCTTTATCTGCTGCGATCTATCAGCGCGCAGCGGCGTAGAGCTAAACTAAATCTCGGAATTCTCGGACAATTTAATGTTGTTTTAGAGTATTGCGTATTTTTAAATACAAAATATTTCTTTCTATTTTTTAAAATCAGACTGTGCTACGGCATGATCTATGTGATACTTATTTGTTATCGACTTCAAATTATGTCAATGCCTTTTTACTAGAAAAATAATGAACATCAATTTATTGCCTTTTGACGAAATGTCATTTGCAAGTCGAATACATAAGAATAATTATTAAGGATTTTCACCAAGATTTTGGGGTTTGGTAATAATCACAATGGATGTGATAACGTAATTCTATAGCGGGTTAGTGCTCAGCGTCGAAAAATACTATAGGATATGATGTAAAAAGCATAGACCACTTTTCTTTTTTTGTGTGGCTGTGTTATCAATGAGAACCTACACTAACCTTGTTCAACACAAATACGACTGTTAGAATCATGTACTGTATATTTTTGTTTCTACGCTACAAATTTTATATTGGGATATTCGTGCTAATTAATTTTTAATTAGACCTCGTTTCTAGGATAAATTGGGGTATAATTTGTAAAAACAGATAAGATATGGCATTTTTATTTCATGATTGTGGTATTTTAAATAAATTATGAATATTATGCTTTTTTAATAATAAGGTGTTGTTCGTTGTTCCGCTTAGCAAGATTGTATGTGCCAACATGACGCTGAAAAAAGTTTTTATAAGTAATCCAACAGTGCCCAGAGTGGCCTACAAAATTTTTGAGAATTCGTAAGTAATATACTAGTTAAAATTTAATTAACTTCTCCGGCAAAAAAGCTGGGAAATTATTATTATTATTTTGTGCAAAAAGTAAAAACAATTTAATGAATTAAAATAATTAATAACTTCTTTAGATTTTTGCTACAGTAGCGAAATACAATGCAATAATTAATATATTTGGATAATCATAAATTTTGTATAAATTTATATTACTTATGAATTAATTCTATAAAAATTATCACCGTTGATTGAAAGAATTGGAAAGATACGCAACCTAAATCACTATACCTTCCGTCTCTATTCCATATCCATTCCATATCCGTTCCGTATTTTTTATTGTATTAGCGCTATACGTAAGCTTCCGTTCCGTATAAGTCCCAGACTTTTTATTGTACAATTTATATCATTACAAAAGTTTTATTTTAAAAATTTGTATCTTTTGAAAAAGGTAATAGATTTAATTAAGAGATGAAAGAATAAATACATATCAGCAAAATGTTAACAGAGCTGGTACAAATGTACGAACTTGACAACGATGTATCCGATACGCTTCAGTCCGTCCGCCAAAAAATTGTATGGAAGGAAAGGATATGGAACGGAAGGGAGACGGAACGGATAGTATGCATTGTCCTATTTATTTGCATAAAATATTATATTATGCAAAGCTGATGCGGAAGGTATAGTGAGAATTGACCTTTATGGGCGAATTCGTGACAAGGCTTATTTGATTTTCCCTTGCGTCTCAAGTGCTTAACGTTTGTGACACCAATCGTTCTGCGGTCAACGCATAAAACACTTATTTTATAAAAATTCTTTTATAGGTAGTGTCGTATGATCGAAGAAAGTCGTTTGGTTGGCTTGGAAATGAGGATTATTGACATTTATCATAATATTTTTCATATGAAATAACAGCGATCTTCATTTCCAAGCCAACTCTGACGCCGTTCTTTGTTTAATCAAATAATATTACATTAAATTGTTTAATGATCGAAAATCCGTATTATTAACGTACTGTATCCAACATCCGTAAATCTACGGATTAATCAAAAGTTCTGCCAACACTGTCTCCGACAACTACTCACTTTGTCGACTGAAAGCAGAACTACGGTACAGTATTCTTTATCCGCTGCGCTGTAAGTAACTATTAGCGCGCAGCGGCGTAGAGCTAAACTAAATCTCGTAATTCTCGGACAGGCTGAGGGTATTTTGTATTTGACTAAGAGTGGGTTCCATGGGACTCACCACTACGGCCGCGAGGGCCTATTGTGGCTCAGTTTCTACGAACTCTTTAATATAAAAAGGCGTTAAAGTTCACCCTCAAGACCCAGCCTTTTAACATAGGCCGTTATGTCCCAGGGTGATAAGTCTCCTAGGTCTGATAGGTCTAGCATGGGTTTGCCAAACATCTCAAATCTAGTCCTGCCCGGCGGAGCAGGTACATATAACGTGCCTTAATTGTTTCGTCATCCTCCATACAGAGTCGGTATTCGGCGTCTTCCACCACTCCCATCCTCTGTAGTTGTGATCTCAGCCGGCAGTGATCCGTGTACACTGCAGTGAGTGTACGCGCTCCATTGCTACCAGCCTTTAGGAGTTCTTCTGTTCTGTGTTTGGATGGCTCTGCTAGGATTTTCTTGACATGTTCGATTCCGGGACTGTCAGTCCCGGAACGTCGCATCCCTAACCCATTCACAGAGCCTGTCTCTTGCAAGATTTTTTTGGAACGCTAAGTGTCGGTTCTGGGCCAACGAATGGTGAGCCTGCACTAATTTTGGCGAGGAAATCAGCACGTTCATTTCCCTCTAGGCCGACATGTCACGGTATCCATATTAGCGACATTATGTTCCTATCTCGTAATATATTAAGTAGTTTCTTACAATGAAGAATTGTCATAGACGTGCTTTTCGTTGCCTCAAGTGCTTTCAACGCGGTTTGACTATCCGAAAATATGCATATTGTTTTCCCGGTGTCTTGCCGTTCTACCAGCAGTTGCACACAAGTTTCAATAGCATATAGCTCAGCTTGGAAAATTGTGGTGTTTTCCAAGACTGTGGTAGATCTCAGTCTTTGGACTGCTGCAGTAAATTCCTGCGCCCGATCCTTTTTCGTTTTAGGATCCGTCCGTGTACCAACACATTTCCGCATGTAATAAACCGTTTCTCGGCTTATTCCATTCGTCCCTATTCGGAAACAGGACGTTGTAGGTGCGTGTCAAGAGTTGGACTGGTGGTGTGAGATCCGAAACCATTCCCAGAATCTCATCCGACTATAGTTCGTCTCCTAGTCGGTTTTGTGTGAACATGATTGTTCCTTAGCCTTCTCGTGCCATATTTAGAAACCTGTATGTAGTCCATCTTGCCTCTCTTTTCCAAAAGAATTTGAAGAGGAGGTAAGTCGATTAGGGTTTCCATAGCTTTTGACGGCGTGGAATGGAAGGCACCAGTCACCGCTATGCATGCTTGTCGTTGTAGTTTCGACAATTTATTCTTTGCCGTTGTTTGGTTGGCTTTCTGCCACGAGGCAACCGCACCATACGTGATAATAGGTCTGATGGCTGTCACGTAGAGCCAGTACATATTTTTGGGATTTAATCCCCAGTTTCTACCACAAATTCGGCTGTATGCTCATAGAGCATAGAAAGTCTTTTTTGATGTTTTTTCCAGCTAAGTTTTTCGTCCAGGTTTAATCCTAGATACTTAACCTCCTCCGCAAACGGAATTGTCTCACAAAGAAGAATAGGCTGAGGGTAACGCCAGCTACATCTCGGACAGGTTTTGTACCACAAAATCGCCCATAAGGTTGCGCATCTTCTTATTTCTTCAATCAACAGTACAATATTATCTACCGGGTGGTGAATCGTTGTTGAAAACATAGGTAATCCGATGCAAATTTTGAACTGTTCAAATATTAGTTCCTATGTTAAGTAAAAACATAAATTATAGACGTAACCAAAATACGTTGAGTTATTTCTTCTTAGTTAAATTAAATAATTACACAACTGTGTTAGATAATTTCATACGTTTTTTGTAGTTAATTTTAACTATTAATGCGTGACATGAATTTCCACTTCTCTAAATTTAGGTTCGGATATATTTTGTAGGGTTGAAGTTATTACATCTCCTGGAATCGACAGAGAATCTATTATAAAATGTCTATCAAGAACAAAGGTTGATGCTCTATTCTGGGCTGGACCTTTCATGTTGGATAAAGAAATTATTGATGCAGCAGGTTAGAAATACCCTTTTCAAGACAATAATTGATGTGTAAAATTAATTTTCATTTATTTTACGCAAATATCCATTAATGCCTTAATTTTGTAAATATTTCTTCTGCGCCTCTTCTCATTTATTTATGCCTTTCTCATTACTACATGACAATTTTATTCAATCTGAATATAAATTTCTCAAATCTCTCAATCTGAAGATCTCTCAAATTTCTCAATTTGAGTAATATTAGCAGGTGATTAAAACTAAATTCTCTAAACTAAACTTCGTAATTCTACAGGAGGATTACTAAAGCTACAATTTAAAATTATTTTTAAAAGGTACAGAGCGTCCCAAATAAATAAAAAACATCAAAGTTGTGTTTTTAAAATGAAACACCCTGTATATTATTACATTTTTAGTTTCTCCGATTAAAATAAATTTAACTTTCATTAGTTTACCCCACTTTAATGTTACCGTTTTTGAAATATTTACGATTTTGTGAAAATACAGTAACAATTTTAATCAGGATTTTAATGCTTCATTACTAAGCGTATTTAAATTTTTAAATCCTAATATTGTTCTGAAGTTTTTCTGTTAAACGATCTTATAGCTTATTTTTTGTTTACTTCTTTGACCCTCTTTTGAACAATTTTGGTTAACTTATTCTTGGTCTTTGGTCTGCTTTTAATAATACAATTTAATTAGAATTAAGGATAATCTTTACTAGTATTCCGACGTTTCGATCATCTTTGGATCTTTTTCAAGTTCAAAGCTTGCCAGTTATACACATATGTCTAAAATTTAATTACATCAATTGACATCCACACACATTTTTAAAATTATAAATAAAATTTCGTTCAACCGGTCAAATTTGTGGCTATACGCATACTGTGATAGAAACTATAGATAAACGCATACTGTGATAGAAACTATAGATAAAATTATACAGGGTGTTTAAAAAAACATGTGCCATCTCTCGTGGGGAGATTCCTCACGTACAAATAAGGTTTATTTTTCATATCAATATAGGTCCGATTCTGCTTTGTTTGTAGCTACAGGGTGTTAAAATCTTAATAATCTTTCGATTAATTATAATTTTCTTCCAAGTACTTTTAGTGATTCGGTTGAAATTTTGAGGGTAAAAGTTACTATAAGTGCTACATATCTTAATGCTGTATACCGGGTGCGTCTTAAAAGTTGTTCATCCCTATTATAACATTTTTATTTTTTCAGACAAAAAAACGAGATTTATTTTGGTATGTTAGTATATGACATAAATTAGGATTGATTGACGTAATCAATTGTTTTCGGTCACTTCCTGTTTCACTGAAAATGACTACAATTTTTGATTTTTTAATGGCACCCTCGGAATTTTTTACTTTATTCGATAGAAAATGACTCTGAATAGAACATTCTCCCTTAAAAAATAATCGTATTTTAAATTGCAATCTAGAGTTAGTGTGTTAAAAACACACTAATTTTTAATCAAGGAGCCTTGGAAAAATATATTTAATCGTCCAATTTTTTTCGTGTCTTTTCCTGGTCGGTTAAAAAAAGCGCAAATCATTTTTTTAGTCATATCTCAATTTTTTGAAATGGATCGAGGGTGGCTCATTAGCATATTTAGAAAATGCATTTTTTACGACTTTGCTAAAAATTTGGTACTACACACTTGGTATTTCGAGTCAAAATATCGTTATGAACCGCATACTACCATTTCAAATAAACCATATGCGAAAATGTCAAAAGCTGACGTGTAATACGTCATTTTATTCAGATTGTCATTATCTATTGTTATCTATCGAATAAAGTATAAACATACTGAGGGAGCCATTTACAAATCAAAAGTTGTAGTCATTTCCGGAACAATACCTACATACTGAATATTTAATTCTAAAAACGCAAAGATGCTCTATTTATCGATGTGCAATAATTGAAGACCTTGGGGAAAAATAGTAATTAGCCACATTTCAATCGTTTAGAGAAAAACACGATAAACGTTTTCCATTATATCCTGAAATGAGGATAATTCCGATTCTTGTGTCTTCCGCGACCATCGCTCTTTGGTGTGTGAAGTCCTTGGTTTATCTGGGTACAGGTATTATAAACTCGTCTTTTTGAATTTTGCAAACCATGGATAGATAAAAACTCTTGTTTACAAACTTCTTGGTCTTTTCCGTTGATTTTTACAAAGTACCTAAACGTAGTAGATCTTGAGGAAGTCCGCCTTTTGGTTTTCTTTGGGTAGACTCGTTTTTTACCGACACTCTTGATTGTGCCAAATAAATAAACGTTTTGTTTATCGAACGTTTGTAGGTCCCAAAATGATTGAAATATCGCCATTTCTACTCCGTGTAGTAATTATCTGCATTTCTTCTTGCAGCTACATGGTGGGCCCAAAGTTCTAGGTATTTGAGTCTTTCCTTTTGTAGTGGTATATCCATGTCCGAGATTTCGTCTATGTTGGGCTTTAACTTTCTTCCTGCATTCTGTGTTGATTTGTCTTTTCCTGGCGGCCTTCTTTTTCTCCGGCGCTTCGATGAATCCTCTAGTAACACGTCCACCTTGGATAAAAAAATAATACATTACCTTTTTATCAGTTGTTTTCACCAAAACTGAAATTGATAAATTTTTATGCAAAAAGGTAATAAGCCACAAGCCATCTGAAATAACCTAACCTAACCTCTTTCTATTCAAAAATCTTACGCCTTTTTTACAATAAGAGTACGTTCCATAAACTCAGGTGGAAATAAATACTCAACGCATATTCCAAGTTGCAATAATTGAAATATTTTTAAGCTTTCAAAAATGTCCAAAATTTTAGTTAAAAACGTAACAAGCCACGTTATATTCTATTTACCTCTGAGGTGACAACACTGCTGTAATCGCTGCTGCTACTCGAATTAAAATAGTCCTTATCCCTTACACTATCATCCGTTTCACTCGAAATATCACTACTGTCTTTCGCTTAACCGCACTATCTCTGCCGGTCGCCATGATGTTGCCCAAATACCGCACTTTCTTCCTTGTGGCTTGTTACGTTCTTAAATCAATAAATCATAATATTAAATCAATTTCACTCATGTTGTGGCTTGTTACTATTTTCCCCCGAGGTCTTCAATTATGGACATATGTGTAGTTTTTTTATAGTATCAAAAATTTTGGATAAATCTCTAAGATTGCGGTAGAGTTTTTCAACTAAGAATACAATTTTATAAAATGGACGCACAAAAATTCAACTATAATAATATAAACTGATCTCTTTGTACTTGATAATGACTAGTAGGAAATACATCATAATAAGTCGATATGTCGTGTATATGTGAATGTAAATTTTACTATACTACTATCATACCGGATGACTGTAATAATTTAACTTTAGGTCAGCAATTAAAGGTGGTGTGTACTATGTCTGCTGGATACAATCAAATCGATACGTCCTTATTAAAAACAAAGGGAATATTGTTAGGAAATACACCGGGAGTCTCGAGTGATGCAGTGGCTGATACAGCGCTCCTTTTAGCTATGGCAGCTTCTAGAAGATATACGGAAGGTCGGAGACACATCGAAGAGTAAGTTTTTGTGTTTTAAAAGCAGAAATAATGTTGTCTGTACATTTTAAAATAAGTATAAGTAGTATCCTGTAGTATGAAACTTTACACAAGCCCTAAATACATGCATAAATAACAATTGAGCCCTAAGATCAACGATAAGTCAGCAACTTTTGCCAATTTATCCCCTAATGGGTGAAGTTAGTGACGATGACGTGTCACAACTATTTTATGTCATTTTTTATTTTTTGGGCATAAAATAAGATATTTAGCTTTGGTTTTTAAGATATTTCAAGATATTTAAATATGCATTATGCATGCTATAATAAAAAAGTTGGTCAACACCCTGTACATTACTTTTCAGAATTAATTTTTGCGCTGACTTTTAACCTAGATAAATAAACTTTACTGAAAAACTTGATTGCTTCGTTTAATGTATACAGCGGTATCAAAAATTGCTGGTCTATTTTAAATATTTATTTTACCTAAAAACTTCGTTATTTCAAATACAACATAATGTATATTTTAAAATAAGTCGAAGCAGATTTAAATGCTCTTTTAAACTATGTTAGTGTTTCCTATACCTATCTGGATCAGATTTTGAATAAAAAGCGATTTTTCAATAAAATGGTTAACAACTAAATTCATTTTCATTTTCTTCACTTCCAACGACAGGTTTATACCCAATAGTTTTTTAAGATACCACACTAACAGCTCTGCGAAATAGGAAAAGTAATTTTTTAAAGGAACGCTTGTCAAGAAAATTCCTATTTGGATATCTTTGGCTTGTCAAGAAAATTCTTATTTGGATAATATTTTTGGGCTATAAACCCTTCAGGCCAACAAGCAATTTCTTCACAAAGTAAAATCACTAGTTACATATCCATTCTTTCAGCCATCTCCAGCCGATACCAGCTTCATTTTTCTTTATAAAATAATAAATTCTTACTTATTAAACCTTATTGTAGACAAATTAAATAAAAGTAACCTGTTATAAATTTAAATAAAGTCCATAAACTAAGTGTCACTAGGAAACTGCCATGACGACACCAGCCATCTTGATTACAATTTTATTGAAAAATCGCTTTTTATTCAAAATCTGAGCCAGATAGGTATCGAGAGGCCAACTCTGCTTCAGTTTATTTTAAAATATACATAGTGTTGCATTTAAAATAATGAAGTTTTTATGCAAAATAAATATTTAAAATAGACCAGCAATTTTGGATACCTCTGTATACATTTTAGGAAACAATCAAATTTTTTAATAAAGCTTATTTCTCTGGCTTAAGAGTTAGCACAAGAATTAATTCTGAAAAGTAATGTACCCAGGGTGCTGACAAACTTTCTTATTATAGCATGCATATTTAAACATCTTTAAATATCTCAAAAACCAAAAGTTTTAAACGTATTAAACCTATATAATAAATGATTTATTTTATGTAATAAAAATGACATAAAATACGGTGTGTTCCATAAGAAAAAGTATAACTTTGGTATAGATCTTATTTCTGACACACCCTGTACATTTGAAAATAATTTTAAATTATGCACATTGTCTTCCCACATATGCACATAAAATATTTTGCTTCTACATTTTTCCGTTTTTGTATAATCAACCGAGGCGAATGAGGTGCGCCACCCTGTATAATTCATGAAAATAGGGCTAAAATTACAAAAATATAACACTTTATATTTGAGTAAAAATTTCTCCGTTGCGTTTTTTTGCATCTGATGAAGTAATAAATTACAAATGTAGTGGGTCTAAATATTTACAATCCATTTTAGGGGTACAATGGGCCATGAAGATTGGTTAAAATTTAGAAAAACTTAATTAGTAAACTTTCCATTTGAAATGTGGGACTATAACTGATTTTTCATTATTCAAGATAGTAGATAAGTGAAAAATACGTACATAATTAGGGTTTGTAATGGTAATTGTTTTACGATCTTAATTTAAAAATAAAATTGTGTGTATTATATTTCTCATAAATCAGGTAAAATCTAGTACGTTGGTTCTAAGGTTAATTTTTATGTTTGCCAAACAGGCAGTAACTTTGCCTTGTTTGTTTAATTTTGTAATCATAAAAGAATATTAAGGAGCATTGACATAATAAAAAATATAATATTTAATATTCGTAGTCTATAACATGGCATAGTTATAGTCTAAAAAATATAATATTATATATTACTTTAATTTTATGTGCTCTGTGTAAACATATAATTTTATTTTGTGCCTGTAATAAAAGTCAAAAACAAATAAAAAAATGTAACTGAATGGCAATGATATCATTAAATTTGCTTGCTTAATCAGATAATTAAGAATTAAATGTTTTATAGTTGCTGTTTATGTCTTATTTATTTTTGCAACAATGATCAATAAATATCTGCCTTACTATGATTTGGAACTATTCATTATGTCTATATTCTGTCTCAAGTTTAGTCCATAATGTCACATTTGGTGTTGGCACACATACACATTAAATAAAAGAAATATTTTGAGCAGTTAGTTACTTTGTTACACATAATCAAGGTGCTAATAATAATAACAATAAGACCTTTCTTAATTGACTTTTATTTAACATGATTTTTAATCTCAGTGGGTAACACTACAAACTGATTTAGGTTAGTCTGTGGTAACACTCAATGATGCTTATACATTTACTACAAAATGATTTAGTTTGAGTTAGAGTTTTTTTATCGGCTGAGTCTTCTTAAATAAGTCAAATTTTTTCAGGGCTGATAGATGCACAATAACGCCATTAAAGAAACATTATTTTCTCTTTCCCATTTTTCAAATAAGTACAAAATAACAGTTACTCAAGCTGGCAAATTAAAAAATAGTATATTGTTTTATTAGGAGTAAAAATGGCACTACGTTTGACATACAGCCTTTGGCACAAAAAGTAATTTTTACTCCGAATAGAACATGCTTTTTTCAAACGCCACAAATACATTTTATTTCTTCTGGTGCCGTGCAGATTCCTGCGTCGGTATTTTATCTTTTTCTTTCTCATCAGATAATTATAATTAATATTATAATTAATATTGCAGCGACTTAGGAGAATTAAAAAAAAAGAAGAAAGTGATAGCGTTCTCCTCGTATTATGTGTCCCAAATAGGATATTTTCCTCTTCTTGATGATTTCGAAGAGTTCACGTTCTTCTAGACCAACTCTTCTGAGACTATCTTCATTCCTCACACGGTCGTCCCAGGATACTCTTAGCATTCGTCGTAGGGTCCACATTTCGAAGGCTTCAATTCTGTTTGTTGTTGTTACCTTCAGTGTTTACGCTACCATACAAATATAACAAAACAGGCCAGACATAGCACTTCACCATTCTGTATCTAAGGCAAGAAGTTCAAGTTCCTATCTGTGAGAAACCTTCGAAGTTTCAGAAAAGTTGTTCTTGCTTGCTCGATTCTGGCATTTGATCTCCTGATCTGGATCCCACGTTTGGTTAACCATGCATCCCAAGTATTTAACTTGTGTGACCTGCTTGTTAACCTCTCCATTTAAGTAAATTCTGGTGTTCGGAATGTTGTTTCTGCTGAGAACCGTAAATTTAGTTTTTCTAGTATTAATTTTTAAACCCAGTTTTTGGCTTTCATTGTTAACCTTATTTTGAAGGATTTGGAGATCATTAACATTGTCTATCACTGTGTCATCCACAAATCGGATATTATTAATTGGATTGCCATTTATTTTCAAACCAATGGGACTATCGGAGATTGATTCAGTGAATGCTCTTTCCATATACAAGTTAAACGACATTGGAGACAGAATACACCCCTGCCTTACCCCCTTTTTTATTTCAAAATTTTCTGTTACTCCCACGTTATGTATACGAATTTCGGCTTTTTGGTTCCAATTAAAATTAACGATCAGCCTTATGTTATATATGCTTTTGGTTACGCTCATTGAATTTGACACTTTATATCAGTTTAATAATATATTTTCGTACTTTTATGCTTTGGCGTAAAAATGCTTTACATTTATACCAGATAGCGTTAAAATGACATTTTTATATTGTCAATCAGGTTGCAAAAATTAATACTTTTGCGACGTTTAAAAAAATATTTATTCAAGAAAATAGAGCTATCGGGTTTTTCCTGTTTTAACAACCCCTTACCCAAGTAGCAAAAAGAAATTCTAAAAGGATTGAATTATTTTATAACAGTCGAATAGCGTTGTCTTAAGGACTGCTTGATTTTATTAAGCGTTTGGTTTCGACCATTCTGTTTTTTAATAAAAGTTGTCATATTAAACTATTTTCTAGTAGTTTTTACAACGTATCCTATAACGCATTAAACGATCATTTCTTTTAGTATGATATAACACTTAATAAATATAGTCGAAGTATAATAAAAGACAATGCTATATGATAACAAACATATTATTTTATTAGACTCTTATACCCACCATGTAAGAGTTCTATAATTTTCATATAACTAGTAGTCACAAGATCATATAATAGTTACTTAAACTTGTCTTATTAAAGTTGTATTACGTTGTATGATAGAACGTTTTATTGCGTTAAACTACGGTGCGACGGTGCTGTATACAACACAGTTATATAGCCTTATATGATAAAATTGTGATTAACAAAATAAATTCGCTGTAATATCTGCATTATAAAAGTGGTAATGTATAATATAACCTCATTTTAAATTAAATGGTATACCTAGTTATTTATTTTGTTGTTGCAAAAGTAATATCTACGTACGAGTATAATCAATCACAGCTATTATGAATTCTGAACAAAGTTGGAAAAAACTTAACAAACGCAATGGTAGTTATAAAGAGCATGTAAGAAAAAACTCCTCGAAATTACGGCAAATAATCCCGAGAATTACCTGGATTCCCAAAAGCCAAAATCTCTCGGGTTGTCTGGCTTCTTCAAAGCATTGTTGCTACGTTGGTGTAAAAGTTTTACTGTAGTAATGTTTGTATTGTTTTATTGTTGTTTTTCTAAGTCCTTAGGTTGCCGCTCACTCGTCGGGCACGCATGAAATGCATTGCGTGCATGAATCCATGAAAATCTGATCATGTTTGTTAGTTTAAATACTAATCAAATGAGATTTGGCAACATCTATTTGTCACAAATCTCAATATGTCCAAAATAGTTTTATAGTGCCTGGAAATTCTGCGTAATGATGGATATTTATCCTATACCGTTTTATTTTACAACAAAGACTTATTTAAGGGATTCATTTATAATAAAATGGTTGCATTATAATTCGCCATGTTTAAGGCAGAATTTTTGTATGGTCTATGGCCGCCATTATATGAAGCAAAATTAAAAACATCAAAATACATTGTAAAATGTTATTTTTGGGAACTATTTTGTGATAAGATTGCCACATACAGTAATAAAGTGTTTAATTAAATTAAAAACAAGAATTTTTGAAAATTTTATTTTATTATATTGTTTAAATTTATATGTAAACCTTAATCGAAATTAAAGCGCTTTAATTTTTTGCCAAATACATGCCTATAATCTACCAGTAAAATTTTCGGCGCAACAAAAATTGTCCCTACTTTTCAAACCCTATTAATGATTTTTTATATTACATATTTGTTGTACCTTCTGGCTCTACCCGCCATCTTCATTGTCGAGTAAAGTCTCCTTTTTAACAATCCACATCCTCTAGATTCATTTTACGACACGCTTAAAATATAATTTCTCCTAATATTCTTCGGTAAAAAATAAAATACTCTTGTACCTCGCTAAATGATCAAATGTTTTTATTGTTCTGTTTCTTAGATGTGACCACGTAATACACAATAAAACTAGTTTTATAATAGTCATATAATGCTGTGTAAAATAGTTGCATAAGAGTTGTATACCCTTTTTATAGAACTTCTATACTACTGAACGCTTGTATAAAAATGGGTCTTTTTTGGTTGTAAAGCTATCATATTACGGTCATATAGGACGTTATATGAATTAAGGTATCCTATAAAAATTATCACATAGCTGTTTATACAACCTTTATAAAATAAAATTGTCTACTTGGGTAGTGTCGTAATCATATCAGATATTAAGAAATTATACCTAAGATATAATTTAAATATATAATATATAAACCAATACTAAAATTTGCGGTGAACAGGTAGTTCTGAAAAGTTTTCTAAAATATACAGGAACGTTTAAAAGAAAATGCCCCATTTTCAACATCGTTTTTTGCAACCCCTGAAAATATTAGTATTTAGTAACTCACCCTGTATATTTACAGAGGAACATGGGAGACTTTCGAAATACAATGGATGTTAGGTCAAGATATTTCCGGATCTACTGTGGGCATTATTGGATTAGGAAGTATTGGACAGGCAATAGCAAAGAGATTAAAAGGATTTGACGTGGCAAAGATTTTATATACTGGACATAGAGAAAAGCCAGAAGGTAAACTATTAATTAAAACAATTTTTATGTTACAATTTAACCTTTTTTTTTCATTTAGGAAAAGAAATAGGAGCTCTGTTCGTTAGTCAAGAAACGTTAAACACAGAAAGTGACTTTATCTTCTTGGCGGCACCACTTACAAATGAAACTAATCAAATGTGTAATGCAGAGTTCTTTTCGAAAATGAAGAAAACTGGAATTATAGTGAATATTAGCAGGGGGAAATTGGTAAGTGTCATTAAAAATAAGTTATTTGTATAGTAAGTAGTTGATAGCATTTGAAGGGTCCAGGGGAAAACATGATTGAGCGCCATTGACTAATTTTACAGGAGAGCACTGGACTGCTGGTGGTTATCAGGTTGTTTCCCTGTATTCTATATTTTTACTAGGCATATATCATAGGGTTTAACAAGTTATTGCTCTGCAGAGTTTATGCATTTTGTAGGGCCCAGTTAGACCTACTATAATATTTTAAAATTCTAAAATTAAGAAATTGTCGCTTATCAAGTTTTTCCTCTGGATCTTTCACTTGTAATATGTGTATGTAATGTATAAGTCGATAAACTGCTTGTTGAAGAAACCATATTATTTAGTATGGAGTCATGTCTGATTTGTTATTTTTCTTAGTCCCTTGAGAAAATACATATAGATTTTATTTTGAGTTTTCGGTACTTGATATGCCTTTGTATTAAGCAAGTCATGTAAATTGGTCAAATAAAATAGCTGTTTTTATATTAATGATTTAATAAAATAAGTAACTCAAATCCTCCGACAAATAATATAAAAATATTGAAAAAAACGTTTCTCATAACTCATAATCAAAGAAAGGTAATATTAAAGCAGGTAAATAAGGTTAAATAAGTGCAAATATTTTTAGGGTAGTAGATCCCGATAAAAGAAACTTTTCTTTATCGTTTTTTAAAAGTCCAAAATAACCTAGTTATTTTACTTTGAAAATTTTCAAAAATAAAAAAAAATCTTAAATTTTGAGAACCACTAGATCTTTTCTGGGTTTTCTTTTATGTTAATTTAATCTACTACCTATGTTGCCATATTATCAAAAAATATGTTATTTAACTAAAAAGTAAAAAAAAAATCCAATATTTTTTTGAAAAAATTCCAAATTTAAAAAAAAATGCGAGGAGAACCTCACAATTCTGTTTCTGGGGTCAAAATATACTACCCCTAAGAATATTTTTGCATTTATTTAAGGCTCATCTTGTATATAACTTTATAAATATATTTATAGTAATATTTGCACTTAATGTATACCTACCTGTAGTGAACTCATATTAATAACGTATTTTAATGGACACATCATTCAATCATATTTTAAAATATTGTGCTTTATACTATACAAAACTTAATTTATTGTTAACTTAAGTATAAGTTAAATTATATTATTATACAAAATGGAAGAAATAGATGATTTGATAAAAACTGGTTGACATTTGTTGTCCTAATTTTTTGTATACCTAATGATATGTTGAATTTTAGGGAACGTTCAAAGTAGTAACAATTTTTAAATGATCGTTAACGTTAAGTTTCCAATAAAAATAAAGTTAATTCAAGAATAAATACACTAAACTTATTAATTTTTTGTAGAAAAAGTATATATTAATCTTAATAATCTCTAGATTGACCAAGCTGCTTTAATCAGAGCTTTGAGGGATGGTGAAATATTTGCAGCAGGTCTTGATGTTATGGACCCAGAACCCCTAAATAAGGATAGCGAGTTATTAAAATTGTCAAATATCGGTGAGTATTCATAAATAATATGCGACTCTTCAAAAATAAAAAAATGATCATTCGATAAGAATTCGTTCGACATGGATGATATTTGGACAATTCAATTACATTACCACCGACATAAGTGGCGAAAAAAATGAAATAAAAATGAAACTACACCCTGTATCTCGAAACAAAGCATTTTAGGACATACATTTATACGAGCTTTTTTACTTATTTTTATTTGCACAATATGCTGCCGAACTTTCAGGAATACAGTTCGGACCACCTTGTATATTACCAGCCATTCACTATTGGCAGTGCCAGATGTGTCAATCTCTGTTGAAGAAATATATATATATATATATATATATATATATATATATATATATATATATATATATATATATAGAAAAAAAAAAAATATATATATATATATATATATTGAGCTGTTGTGATTAACCTTATATATGTTTTACGTGTTTTTATTAATAATTAAATTTACCTTTCTATGTCAAAATAATTTTTAGTAATGTCAGAAATCATAGATATTTAAGAAGATTTTAACTTTTATACAAAATTTTAGTTCCTTTCTTCATATGGAAATTGATATATTTTTCTATTTTTTATAATTAAACTTTTACGTAAGTTTATATAATATTATATTATATTCAGTTATTTTTGTGATATGTTTAGCGAAGGAAATATATTTTCAGCTCGGCGTTGTAATAAATTGTTAATTTTGCCTCTAGACTGCTATCCCCAAAATTTTCTTCTAGTTTTGGTTATATATATATATATATATATATATATATATATATATATAATATATATATATATATATATATATATATATATATATATATATATATATATATATATATATATATATATATACTATATATATACTATATATATATATATATATATATATATATATATATATATATATATATATATATATATATATATATATATATATATATATATATATATATATGTTATATTAGTCCACCAGTACGTTCACCGGCAGGCCACGGCCCTATTGCGGCGTCAGCGCGCGTTGCGAAAATCGCGAACGTATCATAATAATATTCAATTGTTCTCGATTATTGTTAATGTAATCAATATTTTCATTATAAAACCTAATTATTTTGTTAATCAAGAGAGAGTAGTTTAGTTGCCGAACAGAGACTATGTCGTTTGAATTTTTAGTTAAATTATAATAAAATTAATAAATAAAATAAAATAAAAATATTATAAATTTTTTTTTTAAGCAAATAAATGTTTTTTAAAAGTGAGATCGCATTATTTGTGATCTAACAATTGCTTGGCAGTCGGTAGGATCTGAAACGTCGACAGAGTACGTTTCTGCGGAAAAACCAACTGTTGACAGCAGTTCTAATCCTTAAGAAGAAAAAGAACCTAGTGACTATCGACACTGTGGAAGGAACACCTAGTGACACTGGCAGTTACCAGATCGATAGAAACCGAGACTGAAAAAAGTTCAGGGAAGAAACTGAAGAAATTGAAGAAAGAAACAAGAAAGAAGCTCGAAGAGTCCTCACTATCATCAGCTGTGGAAGGAGAACACCTAAGTGACGCCCCTGGCAGCATCCTGATTGATAGAACCAGACGAGACCGATGTTTCTACAAACGTAAGTAATATTGAATTATCACGTATTATTTTATTTATTATTTGGAACCATATTGTTTCGATATTCTATTATAAAGGAATATTAAATGTTTTGTTTATTATTATAAAATTGGTTAAATCTTTATTAAACTTGCATTTTGGCGACTCTAAATTTGTCATCTTTAATACAAGATCTCCAAAGAAGTAAACAATTACTAATGAATCCTCTCTGAAACATAACGCAAAAATGATCATACAATATTAATAAATCCTTAGAATTAACGAACAAAAGTTAGCTCAATGTAGTTTAATCGATACCATGTCCCTAAATACCCTATTGACTGGTTTAGAACCCCGTTTAGGACAGATTATTCGTTCAGGAAATCCTCGAGATATATTACAAGCACAAAGTAGAATTAAACGTGAACTCCAACTATCTATTTTGGAGACCAATAAGGTAACCTATCAGATCAACAATCAACAACCCCAACCTAGTAGGAATCCTATACCTACAAGCATTAAATGTAACTTTTGTGGCCGACTTGGACACTTGTCTAGCCAATGTCGTTTCAGGCCAAGCCTTGCCTCAAAATAATTCTAACCCTTCTCAAGCTCAACCTTCAGCTCATAATCAACCTTCTACTTCATATCAACCTAGACCCAATTATTTTCAAAACCAACAGGAGCCTGTCGTAAGTAAAATCAACCCTTCCGTTCATCTGTTATCCAGAAGAACCTAATCAACCAAAGAAAATCATCATGTAACTACAACCAGGAATACTATGATCAACCTATATATTATGACGATTACCATTATGATGAAAATACAGATTATATTCCTCAGAAGAAGACTATTTCGAAGAAACCGAAAGTGCACACAACACTGCCTCCTGAAACCGACCCACCAACAGAAATTCAAACCCTCAACTTAAACCAGAAAAATCCCCAACCTAGATATTATCCTAGAACACAATTATCCTTAACTCCACTCCATACTGTCAGGTCGAAAAATCTATATTATATTAATGACGCTACTAATAAATTTAAATTACTCATAGCAGATACCGGTGCAGGTATTTCAATATTTAAAAACCACACAGTAAAAATTATCCGAACAGAAATAGCGAAAATCTCATTATACAAGGCATTACAGATCAAAAAATACAGATAACAGAATCAGCCATGATTCCATTTACATGTAAGGATCCACATAAAGTGTTTATTTGCAATTTAGACATAGAATTTGATGGTATTTAGGCGCAGATTTTCTAGAACACTATCAGTGTATTATAGATCTTAAATCAAAAAAATTAATAACTAATTTCAATACACTTCCTTTATTTAAAGTAAATGATAACTTACGGGAAACCCCTCGTATTTTAAAAAATAATTCTAATAAAATAAATAACAGCTGTAAGACACAGTAGCAATAAGATATCCATTGACAGTCGTACCGAGAAAATTGTTAAATTAAAATGTAATTTAATTAACACTGATGCTATTTTACACTCACAGGAAAAAGATAAAAGGTCAGATTACCAAATGCTCTTGTTTATGTTAACAGTAGCGGAATTTTTACTTCTGTTGCTAATGTTAATGGTATTTCTAAAATAATAATTTTTCAGACATTTCTATAGAACCTTATAACCCTAACCCAATCTAAATTTAAACACCTTTGATAAAAAAATCAAAACCCACCTATAATCGATCGAACGCGCAAACAATTAAAACGAACTAAGAACCGAACATCTCAACGAAGAAGGCATGAAATGATAACCAATCTCTGTTTAGAATACTCCTGACATATTTTACCTCAGAAGGTGATAATTTAACTCACAAAATGAAATCAAGCATACCATAGACACAAGGCGCAAAACCTATTTATACAAAATCCTATAGGTATCTGATCACAAGGAGGAAGTAAAACACCAAATTGGAAAAAATGTTGGACCAAGGAATAATTCGACCATCTGTATCCCCATGGTCATCACCTGTTTGGGGTAGTACCCAAAAGATCGATGCTTCTGGAAAGCAGAAATGGAGAGTAGTCATAGACTACAGAAACTAAATGAAGTCAGTGTAGATGACAGATATCCCCTACCAAATATCTCTGACTTACTAGATCAGCTGGGAAGATGTCAGTACTTCACTTGACCTCGCGTCAAGGTTTCCACCAAATCGAGATCAAGCCAGAAGACGTACCCAAGACAGCTTTTTTCCGTGGAAAATGGCCACTACAGATTTGTTCATGCCATTTTGGCCTGAAAAATGCCCCTCCACATTCAGAGGTTATGGACAACATTCTCCTAGGAATACAAAACGAACGTTGCCTGTATATGGACGATATTATCATCTATTCTCCGACCATCCATGAACATATGCAGCGCTTAAAAAGTTTTAAACATGACTCAGGAAAGCAGAATAAAAGATCCAGCCCGATAAGTGCGAATTCTTGAGAAAAGTTGCCTATCTCGGACATATTGTAACAGATGGAGTCAAACCAAATCCAGTTAAGATAGAATGCATCCGAGTTTTAGAACCGAAGAATCCCAAGGAAATCAAATCTTTCCTCGGATTAGCAGGCTACTACCGCGAATTCATCTCGAATTTTGCGCGAAGATATCAAAACCATTGACTAAACTGTTAAAAAGATATACCATTCGAATTTCGACACTGAATGAAATTAGCGTTCGAAGAATTAAAAAAACACGCTAATTTCGGACCCAATCTCATTTATCCTAACTTTGAAGAACCGTTTCTACTCACCACGGACGCAATTGCTTTTTGCCATTGGAGCCGTATTATCCTGAGCCTGTAGGTAAAGATCTCCCTATAGCTTTCGCATGCCATTGCTGCCCCTGCGGAGACGAAATATTCTGTCGAGAGGGAACTCTTAGCGAATAGTATGGACTGTAAAACATTTGAACCATATTTGTTTGGAAGAAAATTTACGTTAGTTACCGACCACCGACCTTTAACATGGCTCATGCCAAGTAAAAGACCCTGGAAGTAGAGCTAGCTCGCTGGAGATTAAGTTAGAAGAGTATAACTTTAAAATTGAATATAGCCTGGAAAATAAACAAGAACGCCGATGCAATATCCAGAATTAAAGTCAACCATTTCCAAGAATGTGCTAAACTCCAAAAGAAAATAAATATTCTAGCATCAATGAAGATGAAATTAGGAGCACTTGAAAATCAAGATGAGGAACACCCAAGAAGATGATAGCGATACCGATGGAAAACTACTAGACAATACAATAAATTTGTAGACTTGTACAGACAAGATCAATAATCGATTACTCAATGGAATTACCAATTCACAGCTTCTGGATAAATCAAATAAAAAACATAATAACTTATTCTTTCGCCAAAATAAACTAGAACAATTACGC